CAGCCCTCGTCAGGAGGACGTCCCAAGGCCCCGGACAGTCAGGGGGTTGGGATCAGGAATGGGGGTGGAGGGCGGGGAGGTGGGGGAGGAGGGGGTGGGAGGGTGACCGAAGAGGAGATGGGTCTGGAAGGAGGCGAGGGAGGGAGGGAGGGAGGAACTTTATCCTCTGGGGATGGATGGACGGGGGGGGGGGGGAATGGGGGGAAATGGGAAAATAGGGTGGGGGGGGGAGAAATAAAATACAATTGCACCTGCAGGAAGTCTGTTGACATCATATCCTGATCGAAATAGCGCCTTTCCAGGCAGTCGGTCGTTCTGACATCACTTCCTGAGCGCGGCGGTACCCAACAGGAAGTGACCGCGTGGTCCCATAACGGCCACTGTAGGGGAGTGTCCGGAACGTCTCAGGTTTGTGGGCGGCGATTCCCTGAGTGTGTACGCGGTCGTGTGATGGGGGGGGAATGGGGACGGTGAATTTTGTGGACGGTGGAGTTGGGGGGAGCAGCGAGGAGGGTGTTTGACCAGACCGGGTCGGGCGGGGCGGGGAGGGGAGGGGCGGGGAGGGGCGGGGGAGGGGATGTTGGGTGAAATCCACGTTTCTCTGCTTTGTGTTGATTAAAAAAAAAACATTTTTTTATTAATAATTGTGTGTTTTTCATACATTAATGAGCGCATTAGTATAATAAGCGCAACTGAGGTAAGAAAGTCAGTGAGTGGCGAGAGAGACGGAGCAGAAATGATTGTAATGGAGTTTCCAAGTTAATCCCGAAAAAAAACACTCAACATTTTCCTCCACCCCTTCAAACCCCCCAACTACCCCTTATCCCCCTCCCTCCCTCCCTCCCTCCCTCCCTCCTTCCTCCTCGATTTCCTCTCCCCTTTCCTCCCTCCCTCCTTCTTGCATCGTTTTACTTTTGCTACCAACACCGCCACGTACAATACATTTATGCATATATTTTGAATTATTAATCTTTTCGTTTAAAAACGGGGGAAAAAAAATCAATCGATGTCCTCCACTTCGCCCCCCACCACTCCCCCCCCCCCCCCCCCAAGTTTGGTGAAAAATACAACAAGATATCTATCTCTCTATCTGTCCTATTTATACCCATTTATTGATTTAAGAAAAAAGTTTAACTGATAGTAATTAACGGTGGTTAATAACGACGACGATGATGGATTTACGAGTCGCGGATTTTACGATTTCTACCCCTTTTGTGCGTGAAAAAGAAAGTTTAACAAAATAATAATTCAAGTCACGAGCTTCAAAGTCATTCGGTTTGGTTTTTTTTCGCGCGTCGTCTTTGTTAACGTTTGGCCTTGTCCTCAAAATAGCGAAAGATGCAAAGTCCCTGATTCCCACACACGGAGAGAGAGAGAGAGAGAGAGCGGGAGAGCGGGAGAGAGAGAGAGAGTGAGTGAGAGAGAGAAAGAGAACGAGGGATAGAGAGAGAGAGAGAGAGAGAGAGAGAATAAAATAGATCTCGTCTTTTCTCGTTTGCTCGGGGCAAGGAGATGGAACGGCACCGCTCCCTCTCTCGCTCCCTCGCCCTCGCTCGCTCGCTCAGTGAGCTAACGAGGTTTATCGATGTGAAGATAGTTATGATAACTGCTGCTCCGAGATTCAAGGCCCTCGTATTCGAGAGAAACGGTGTCCGTGTTGTCCGGGCTCCACGTTTCGATCACGTCGTTGCCCCAATTCCCATCGTAGACGTCCAGACTCTCGGCCTCGCTCTGACTCGCTCGAAGTTTCTGCGCGAGAAAAAGAGCCACTGATAAGTCGGCGGCTTCGAAACCGCGGCTCGTTCGCCGGGGGGGGGGACGTCGCCGGGCGCGATCGGCTGCGCCAAACACGCAGTCACTACGCTCGGGAGGTGTGTCCCGTGAAGCGCTTTTGAGACGTCTCGACGACGTGATCAAACGCCGGGTCGAACGCCGGGATTATTACCATTATTATTATTGTCGGTAAAACACACACAACAAACAATTATACAATAATCATAATTAATAATATTAATAATAATAATATTAATACCCAGAGAGTTGTTACGGTCTGGAACGCACGGCCTGAAAGGCTGGTGGGCGCAGGTTCCTAAGCTGTAGGTCTCTCAGTCACGTTCGAGTGAGTCATATTTGAGTAAATAAAACTGAACTGAAAGTTGGGGTTAATTCCTCTGTCCCAAACATCTGTCCCCACAGATTGTCCGGTTAGCCCTGAAGTCAATCATTTCCCGAAGTAAACCTCAGGAAAGGTTCCTTACTCCACACGTACAGATACACACACACACACACACACGCACACAGACAGACACACACATACACACACAGATAGACATACAGACACACCCACAGAGATACACACACACACACACACACACACACAGAGAAAACCACACACACAGATACACAACCCACCCCCCCACACACACACACAGACACCCATACAGTTACACATACACAGACACACACAGACACACACAAACACACCCACACAGAGAAAACCACACCGACAGACACACACCCACACAGACGGGAAGGGTCGGGTGCTGGGGTGTTGGGTTGCTGGTGTGTTGGGGTATTGGGGTGTTGGGGTATTGGGGTGTTGGGTTGCCTGGGTGTTGGGGTATGGGGTGTTGGGGCGCTGGGGTGTTGGTTTGCTGGAGTGTTGGGGTGCTGAGGTTTTGGGGTGCTGGGATGCTGAGGTGTTGGGGTGTTGGGATGCTGAGGTATTGGGGTGCTGGGGTGTTGGCATATTGGGGTGTTGGGGTATTGAGGTGCTGGGGTGTTGAGGTGCTGGGGTGTTGAGGTGTTGGGGTGCTGGGGTGCTGTGGTGTTGGGATGCTGAGGAGCTGGAGTGTTGGGGTGTTGGGGTCCTGGGGTGCTGGGGTGTTGGGTTGCTGGGGTGTTGGGTTGCTGGGGTGCTGGGGTGCTGGAGTGTCGGGGTGCTGTGGTGTTGGGTTGCTGGGGTGTTGGGTTGCTGGGATGTTGGGGTGTTGAGGTGCTGGGGTGTTGAGTTGCTGGGGTGTTGGGGTGCTGTGGTGTTGGGGTGCTGGGGTGTTGGGGTGCTGGGGTGGGGTGCTGGGGTGTTGGGGTACTGGGGTGTTGGGGTGCTGGGGTGTTGGGGTGTTGGGTTGGGGTGCTGGGGTGTGGGGTGCTGGGGGGTTGGGGTGGGGGTGGGGTGCTGGGGTGTTGGGGTGCTGTGGTGTTGGGGTGCTGGGGTGTTGGGGTGCTGGGGTGTTGGGGTGCTGTGGTGTTGGAGTGTTGGGGTGTTGGGGTGCTGGGGTGTTGGGGTGCTGGGGTGTTGGGGTGCTGGGGTGCTGGGGTGTTGGGGTGCTGGGGTGTTGGGGTGTTGGGGTGTTGGGGTGTTGGGGTGTTGGGGTGTTGGGGTGTGGGGTGTTGGGTGTTGGGGTGTTGGGGTGTTGGGGTGTTGGGTGTTGGGGTGCTGGGGTGTTGTGGTGCTGGGGTGTTGGGGTGCTGGGGTGTGTTCGCCCTCCAGTCGGAGCCCCCCTTTACCTCGGCAGCCGAGGGTCCTGTGCCCTCCGGCCCCTCCTCCGTCCTCCCCCCCTCCTGCCCCGAGCAAGAGGAGGCGGCCGAGAAGATTCCTCCCTCGGCCTCGTCCTCGTCCCAACCGATCACCTCGACCGCTGCCCCCTGACCGAGCAGCACCACGTTCCCGAAAGCGGGGTCCGACTTGGAGTGCCGGGGGGCTTTGCGCTGCTTGGCCGAGCACCGGCTGCCGTAGAAGCCCACCCCGGGCTCCTTGCGGTGCCGGTGGGCCGGGCGGGTCGAGCGGTAGGACGCCCCCTGGTGGTAGGAGTGGGAGGGGCAGTTGCTGGCGCTGCCCGCCTTGGAGGTGGACGGCTGGAAGCTCGGGTTGGCCTCGGGCCAGACCTTGATGCCAACCTCCCTCCCGGGCTCCTCGATGGTCAGGCTGTCCATCTTGTCGATGGCCCTTTGGACGGAGGTGATGGCCGCTAAGTTGGGGGGCACCGGCCTGCCCAGCCCCCCGACCCCGACGCCCCCGACCCCGACGCCCCCGACCCCGTAGAACTCCGGGCTGGGGTAATACCCCTCCTCGCTGTAGAACTGCCGGGCGGACAGCAGCCGTCCTCGCTCGTGGCTCAGGGCTGCGTTGAGCCCCTGGACCGAGAGCTCGTAGTACTTGGTGCGCTCGTGGGACAGCTTGAGCTGCTGCAGGGTCACGTACGGGTGCTTCAGGCCCGCGCTCGGGGTGATGCGCTCGTGGGAATCCAGCGTCAACATGCGCTTGATCAGCTCCGTCATGTTCTTGCGGTCCTGGAGCTCGGCCGAGGCCTCGTTGTTGTCCTGCAGGAGGTTCTTGTGGCCCGAGACCGTCTCGAGCTGGTCCAGCGACTTGACGATGTACTTCCTCCTCTCCAGGGGCTGGACCAGGGTCTCCGCCTGGTAGTCGGCTGCGCTCTTCAGCTGCCACTGGTGCGAGGCGTTCTGCCGGGGGCTGCGGCGGAAGAAGTGGTGGGCTTTGGTGGCCGCGTTGAGCAGGTGGTCCTTGGGCAGCCCCTGGGTCTCCACCACGTAGCGGATCTGGTCGTACTCGCTGTTCCCCGGGTACAGAGGCCATCCCAGGTGCAGTTCGGCCATAACGCAACCCAGAGACCACATGTCCACCTTCTCGCAGAAGGGTAACCCCAATAAGATCTCCGGGGAGCGGTAGAACCTGGATTGGATGTAGGGTTCTGGGGAGAGAGGGAGAGAGGGGGAGAAGGAGGGGAGGGAGGGAGGGATGGGGAGAGAGAGAGAGAGAGAGGAGAGAGAGGGGGGAGGGGGAGAAGGAGGGGAGAGAGGGAGAGACAATGTCAGAGATCCTTCGGGTGAGACGTTAAACTCAGGTCTGTGTCCTGTTCAGAGGACGTTAAAAGAGTTTCTCTCACACACACTCTCTCTCTATCGCTCTCTCTATCACTCTCTCTCTCTCTCTCTCTCTTTCGCTCTCTCTCTCGCGCTCTCTATCACTCTCTCTCTCGCTCTCTCTATTGCTCTCTCTTTCGCTCGCGCTCTCGATCTCTCTCTCTATTGCTCTCTCTTTCGCTCGCGCTCTCGATCTCTCTCTCTATTGCTCTCTCTATCACTCTCTCTATCACTCTCTATCGCTCTCTCTCGCTCTCTCTATCGCTCTCTCTCTCTCGCTCTCTCTCTCGATCACTCTCTCTCTCGCTCTCTCTATCTCTCTCTCTTGCTCTCTCTCGCTCTCTCTATCACTCTCTCTCGCTCTCTCTCTCTTTCGCTCTCTCTCTCTTTCGCGCTCTCTCTCTCGCGCTCTCTTTCACTCTCTCGCTCTCTCTCTCGCTCTCGCTCTCTCTTTCGCTCTCACTCTCTTTCACTCTCTCTTTCACTCTCTCTCTCGCTCTCTCTATCACTCTCTCTCTCGCTCGTTCTCTCTCTCTTTCGCTCTCTCTCTTTCGCTCTCTCTCGCTCTCTCTTTCACTCTCTCTCTCTCGCTCTCTCTTTCTTTCGCTCTCTCTCTCGCTCTCTCTATCACTCTCTCTCTCGCTCTCTCTATTGCTCTCTCTTTCGCTCGCGCTCTCGATCTCTCTCTCTATTGCTCTCTCTTTCACTCTCTCTCTCTTTCTCTATTGCTATCTCTATCACTCTCTCTCTCTCTCGCTCTCTCTATCGCTCTCTCTCTCTCTCTCTGGCTCTCTCGATCACTCTCTCTGTCGCTCTCTCTATCTCTCTCTCTTGCTCTATCTCTCTCTCTCGCTCTCTCTATCACTCTCTCTCGCTCTCTCTCTCTTTCGCTCTCTCTCTCGCGCTCTCTCTCTCGCGCTCTCTTTCACTCTCTCGCTCTCTCTCTCGCTCTCTCTCTCTTTCGCTCTCTCTCTCGCTCTCTCTTTCACTCTCTCTCTCTCTCGCTCTCTCTCTTGCTTTCTCTCTCCATTGCTCTCTCTTTCGCTCTCTCTTTCGCTCTCACTCTCTCTTTCACTCTCTCTTTCACTCTCTCTCTCGCTCTCTCTATCACTCTCTCTCTCGCTCGTTCTCTCTCTCTTTCGCTCTCTCTCTCTCGCTCTCTCTCTCTTTCTTTTGCTCTCTCTCTCGCTCTCTCTTTCACTCCCTCTCTCTCTCTTGCTCTCTCTCTCCATTGCTCTCTCTTTCGCTCACTCTTTCGCGCTCACTCTCTCTTTCACTCTCTCTTTCGCTCTCTCTCTTTCACTCTCTCTCTTTCGCTCTCTCTCCATCGCTCTCTCTCACTCTCGCTCTCCCATTGTCCCGCTCGACAATTCCCCCCCGTCGCTCCCCCGCAAAACACACAGTCACTACACTTTACAGTGTGTCCTGTGAAGCGCTTTGAGACGTCTGGAAGGCAGTCGTGTGGGTCTTCATTGCCGCCCGGTGGCCAATCGGATGTACTGCAAACCAACATGATTTGCCCATCGACCATTGTCACACTCGGACACACGCACACACACACACGCGCACACACCACGGAAACACACGCGCACACATGCACACGCATACACACACACGCGCGCACACACGCGTACGGAAACCCGTCACCGTGATCGGCCGGGTGTCCGGCACGCACACACACGCACATGTGCACGCACGTGCGCGCGCACGTACGCACGGAAACCCGTCACCGCGATCCGCCGGGTCTGACACACACATACACACACGCACACTCACGCGCGGAAACCTGTCACCGTGAGCAGCCGGGTGTCTGACACGCACGTACTCTCACGCGCACACGCGCACACACACGCACACGCACGGTAAACCTGTCACCGTGATCAGCCGGGTGTCTGACACACGCGAAAACCCGTCGCCACGCGACGCTGCTGTGCGAAAACCGTCCGCCGGGTTTCGCCCGCGCAAAAGCACGCGGCCGATTCGCTTCAGGGCGCAAACCCGAGAAGCGCTTTGAGACGTCTCGAGGGCGCGACAAGGCATCGGGTCAAACACCCTCCACCCCCCACCCCCACCTACCCCCCCACCCCCCACCGGGGTCATTACAATTCACTGCCAACCGCACCTTTGACGTAACGGACTTCGTGGAATATACTCGCGGAGCCGAAATCGATGAGCTTTACTCGGAAGGGAAAGCGCTTCTGGTCGATGATCATGATGTTCTCGGGCTTGAGGTCCGCGTGGATGATGGACAAGTCCTTGAGCTTCTGGAGGGCTCGGAGCACTTGGGTGGTGATGGTCCTGATGTGCCGGGCGGGCAGCATCGCAAAGTTATTCTCCTTCTGGTACTCGAAGATGTTCTGCTGCATCAGCTCGAAGACCAGGTAGGACTTAACGTCGTCGTGGAAGCACTCGAAGAATCTGATGAAGTGGAACTCGTCCGGATCCACCGTACCCAGGACTTGCAGCATCTTCAGCTCGTTCTTGATGATACGGGCTCGATAGGAGTCGCTTGAAGGAACACAAGATCGTAAGATTTAGACGGTGGGAGACTCTCCCTGGAGCTCAGGGGGTTACTTGCAGCCCTCGCCTCGCGGGCGAGAGAGAGAGAGAGAGAGAGAGAGAGATGGGTAGAGCTCAGGGGGTTACTTCAGCCCTCGTCTCGAGGGCGAGAGAGAGAGAGAGAGAGGGGTACAGCTCAGGGGGTTACTTCAGCCCTCGTCTCGCGGGCGAGAGAGAGAGAGAGGGGTAGAGCTCAGGGGGTTACTTCAGCCCTCGTCTCGAGGGCGAGAGAGAGAGAGAGAGAGGGGTACAGCTCAGGGGGTTACTTCAGCCCTCGTCTCGCGGGCGAGAGAGAGAGAGAGAGAGAGAGATGGGTAGAGCTCAGGGGGTTACTTCAGCCCTCGTCTCGTGGGCGAGAGAGAGAGAGAGAGAGAGGTAGAGCTCAGGGGGTTACTTACAGCCCTCGCCTCGCGAGCGAAAGAGTGAGAGTGAGAGAGAGGGGGGTCCCGGGTGGGTCAGGTCGGGGCGAAACCTTAGGCAAGTTTCCTTACTCCCCACCGTCCCCCGTTCCCCCCCACCCCACACAGACACACACACACACACACACGCGCGTCTCACCAGCAGTCAGTAAGGAACCCGCCTGTTAGTCGATTGACAAATCGCTTTCACGGGGGTTATAATCCCTTCAAAAATAATAATAATAATAATAATAATAATAATGTGGTCCCTCAATGTTTGTGCGGACGCTGCTGCGCGCAATTAGCTGCCGCACTTTACAGCGTGTTCCGAGAAGCGCTTTGAGACGTCTCGAGGACGCGATCGGGCGCCGGGTCACACCCCGCGATCATCATTATTAATATTAAGGTAAAACAGCCGATTACAATTGCACAGAGGAATAATACCAATCCTGATCGCGTCGTCGCGAGACGTCTCGGAGCGCTTCACAGGGTACAGCGTCAAGCGTAGCGACTGTGCGTTTTGCGGGCGAAACGCGGCGGCCGACTGCGCCGCCAGCGACGTCCGGTCCCTTTAGAATCTTGAAAAAAACGCCATCGCGTCCCCAGAAAGGATAATAAATTCGCCCGCGAAAAGCTCCGCCCGCGAGATACGGTCGAGTCGCTTTACGCCGTGTCCCGCGAAGCGCTTCGAGACGTCTCGAAGACCTGATATTATCTATTATTATTATTATTATTATTATAATAATTATAATATTCCTTGCATTTGATGCAGCGCCTTGTCGCGTCTTCGAGACGTCTCGAAGCGCTTGAGCAAAGCAATAATAATCAGGATTATCATTATTATTAGGATAATTATTATTGTTATATCGCCTATCGACTCCGCTCTTCTCCGGGGGGCGGCGGGCGGCGGCGGCGGCGGCGGTGGGGGTGGAGGGGGAGGGGGGGGGAGACGGGGAACACATGCCTTTTGAGAATCTTTATCGCTACGAAATGTCCGGTGCTCCTTTTCCAGCATTTGGCCACTTCCCCGAAGGTGCCTTTGCCGAGGATCTGTATCACGTCGTAGGTGTCTGTCTCGGAATGGATGACAGACATGGCTTTCAGACCGGGAGGTCTCTGCGCTCATTCCCTCTCTTCGGGGGGGGGTCCCAACACCTGTTCTCGGGGCTCGACTTGTAACCAACAATAGAATCCTCCCATGTAACAATGAAGGACTTTTTGCCCTCACTATCGTTGCTAAGACCCATCGTGAGATGACACCGAGTCCTGCAGAGTTTGGGGAATTGTGGAGTCTCTCCCCCGTAGCTTCGGGGTGTGGGGGTGGGGGTGGGTGGGGGTTAGACCCCTCGCCTCGCGAGAGAGAGGGAGAGAGAGAGAGAGAGAGGACCCGGGTTTGATTCCCGGACAGGTCAAGTCAGGGCGAAACCTTAGGCAAGTTTCCTTACTCCCACCTCCCCCCACACACACACATGCATCCCCCCCACACACACACACACATCCCCCCCCCCCCCACGTACACACACACCGCACACGCCTGTGTTTACCAACGGTCAGTTGGAATCCGCTTGTTACGTCGATCCGGGGGTAACAATAATCCCTCCGAAAAGTAATAATAATAATAATTATTCAGTCACTTCAACCCGCGGCTGTTTGTGGGGACGTGGCCGGGCGCGATCGGCCGCCCCGCGTTTCGCCCACACAACACACAGTCACTACGCTCGACGGTGTTTCCCGTGAAGCGCTCTGGAGGTGTCCCGCGTTTGATACGGAGCCTTATCCAGTCATCGAGAATCGTCTCCGATTGCTTCGCAGGATTTCACTGCGACGTGTAGTGACTGTGCCTTCGGTTCGGCGAACGCAGCAGCAGCCAATTTATCTGGGGTGGTGGGGGCAGGAGGTGGGCGGTGGTGGGGGGGGGGGAGACCGAGAGAGAGATAGAGACTCATCTCCCCTATTGCGTTGCGAGTGTGGGTGGGGGGGGGCGAGAGCTTTAACATCCACCCTGAACGGGTCGCAGACGGAGAGAGAGAGGGGTTAACGTCTCATCTGGAGGACAATGTCTCTGACAATGCGTCTCTCCCCCCCCCTCCCCCACCACCCCCACCCCCCCAGTGCTGGGCATCAGCCCGGACCGGGAGCTCAACCCCCTGATATATGCGCGTGTGTGTGTGTGTGTGGGGGGGTTAGTGGGGGAGAGAGCGAGGGTGGGTCTCAAACCCCCCCCCCGCTCCCCGTCCCCAGAGGCGAGGGCTCGAGGGTCTGCAGCGCCAATCTGGGCGGAGTATCTCTCCCCCCCCCATAGAACGCTAATTATAGTCGGTTTCCTGCAGGGATTCAGTAAAGATTCTCCGCACACAAACAGGAAACATCGGCTGCTCGAGACAATAATGTCTCTTGCGGTTATATTTAGACCCTTCGAGTCCCCGGCACCTCCCTCCCCCCCCTCTCCCCCCTCCTCTATCCTTCTCCTCCGCCCCCGCTCCACTGGCTCCCGCTTGTCGTCCCCCCCCCCCCCCCGAGCCTTCCTCCGCTCCGCCGTCTCCGTCCACGGTTGTTTGCGGGGACGTCGTTGGCGTTTGCGATCGGCTTCCGGGGTTTAACCCCCCCCGACCCCCGACCCCCCGCCCCCCCCGCGAAAGGCACGGTCACTCCACTTTGCCGGTGTGTCCTGAGAAGCGCTTTGAGGCGTCTCGAAGACGCGATGAGGCGCCGGGTCAAACGCCGGGAAAATTATTATGATGATTACGTTCAGGACAGACAGACGGACAGACAGACAGACAGACAGACAGACAGACAGACAGACAGACAATGGTGGAAGCAGAAAGGGTCAACTCTTTCAATGCCGACCTCCCTTCGCGCCCCTGAACTCTCTCTCGCTCTCTCTCTCTCTCCTTCCCCATCTTCAGGTCGCGCCCGAAAACCTTCCTCTTCATCCCTCTGCACCCCAAACCCCCCCCCCAACGCCCCCACAACCCCCCCCCCGCCCCACCCCCCCCCCCCCCGAGCTCCGCCACCGTCAAGCGCTCTGGGACGTGGTGACGCTGTCATTCTGAGACAGACGTGAGACGAGGGGGGGGGGGTTCGAGCCAAGTTTGGCTCGGAATTAAAATGGCCGGAGGGAGAGCCTCCGTCTCCTCTTCCTGTCGCTGCGTTTACCGGTTACGGAGACTCTCCCACGAGAATGAAACCGATGTTTATTTGGGAGCGTCGCTGTGCCGGAGAGCTTCGCGTCTCTCTCCCCCCCCTTGTAGCTCAGGGCGGGGGGGTTAGACCCCTCGCCTCGCAAGCCAGAGAGAGAGAGAGAGGACCCAGGTTCGATTCCCGGGCGGGTCGGGTCATGGGCGAAACCTTGGACCCCTCGCGCCCCCACCCCTCGCGCCCCCACCCCGCGCGCCCCCACACGCGCGCACGGGCGCCCGTTTACCTCGCGTTAAGTGGGGGGATGACTTTCCGGGGGCAATAATCCCGGGTCGCTTCGACCCGCGGCTGTTGGTGGGGACGTCGCCGGGGGCGCAATCGGCCGCCGCGCGTCGCCCACAAATTGCACGGTCACTACACTTCTCGCCGCCGGGGATTATTATTATTAAGGCCGAAGCGCGTCTGGGTGTTTGCTGGCAGTCAGGTGCAATGCTTCGTTGCGTGTATTTCCCCATAATCTTTATTGCCGGACGCGGTTAAGGTCATTAATATAAATATATTCCACACGTAAAAAGTTTACACGTTATTGTCCACCACAAGATCAGAGAGACAGGGGTGAGGGGTGGGGGGTGGGGTGAAGGGTGGGGGTGTGGGGGGATCAGCAAAGAGGTTTCTGTCGGCGAAAGACACAGAGAGATATTTTCGTCTCGAAAACAGTCGTCGACAAAAAATATTCAGAGAAATGATGCAAATATATATGTATATATATGTGACTCTGAAAGATGGAATGTGTTTGGGAGTCGGGATGTGCACTGTATGTTTGTCTTATGCTCCCAAAGTGCCTCAACCCCCTCACTCCCTCCGTCTCCCCCCCACTCCCTCTCCTCCCCCTCACTCCGTCTCCCCAACTTCACTCCCTCTCTCCCTCCCACCTCCCTCTCCCTTCACTCCCTTTCCCCCTCCCCCACTCCGTCTCCGCCCCCCCACTCCGTCTCCGCCCCCTCACTCCGTCTCGCCCCCCTCACTCCCTCTCCCCCCTTCACTCCCCCTCTCCAACCCCTCACTCCCTCTCCCACCCCTCACTCCGTCTCCCCCCCTCACTCCTTCCTCCCCCTCACTCCCTCTCCCCCCCCCTCACTCCCTCCCTCCCCACCCCCTCACTCCCTCTCCGCCTCCCTAGTTCCTCCCCCTCTCCCTCATTCCCTCTCCCCTCTCCACCCCCCTCACTCCCTCTCCCCACTCCCCTCATTCCCTCCCCACCCCCCCCATCCAATCCCTCTACTAATGGGGCTCACCAATGAGAGCTGTGTGTGTGTGTGTGTGTTCGAGCGTGTGCGTGTGCGTGCGTATGTGCGCGTGTGCGCGTGTTGGGGAGTTGGTACACAGAGTGGGTCTGTGCGCGCGTGGGAGGGCGGACTGCGCGCCCGTGTACGCACGCGTGTGCGTGTGAGTGTGTGTCCGTGCGTGCGCTTGTGAGACACCGAACTTGTATTTGTGAGCGCGACAGTGTGTCGGTGTGTTAGACCCCCTGTTCTTCGCAGACCCCAAACCTTACCCCCCACCGCCCCCCCCCCCCAACCCCCCCAGGTCCCAACCTTACCCCCTCTGACGTATCCCCAGTTAATTAAAGTCAACATTAGATCATCCCGACCCCCGAACGCCCCCCAAAAAAAACAACCCGCGAAAAAGCTCACGAGGCCAAGGAATTAACTAACGAACAAAAGCACTAAAATATCTCTTTTTTTTCCTGTAAAGTCAGTGAACTCATAAACAATATCATTAATTCCCGGACAAAAAAAAAACCTCGTGTCCGCCAGGTTCCGTGCTTTAAAGGGTTAATTTTTTTTAATGAGAGGAGAGGAGGGGGGGGGGGGGAGGAAAGGGATAATAATAATAATAATAATAATAATAATAATAAAATTTTGCCCCACAAGATACACAGCCGCTGCACTTTACGGTATATCCCGTGAAGCGCTCGGAGACGTCTTCTCGTGATACGGCGCCGGGTCGAACGCGAGGATTATTACTGTTGTTATTAACGGCGGCAAATTAACAGCTTAAAGGGGGGGAACAGATAACCGCGAACTATTTGCCCCGAGACCCATCACGCGTGGGCTTGAGAGTCTCCAAACCAAACCGGAGGGTTGCGTGCGCGCGCGCGCGCGCGGTCCGAGCGTGCGCGTACGTGTGCGCGCGCGCGTCGCTTGCACGCGGAAATTTCCCCGTTATCTGGAAGGTCGCGCACACTCTCTCTCAACGAACGAACGAACGAACAAACGAACACCGGCTAAGGTATGGCTTTAGTTTGCTATTGAACGGGGAGATCAGATTGTAGAGAGAGAGAGAGAGAGCGCACGGAGTTCCCGCAGCTCAGGGGGTTAGACCCCTCGCCTCGTTAGCCAGAGGACCCGGGTTCGATTCCCGGGCGGGTCAGGTCGGGGCAAAACCTCAGGCGAGTTTCCTTACTCCACACGCACACGCACACGCGCACACACGCACACGCGCGCCTCTGTTTACGCAGCAGGAACCCGGCTGTTAAGTCGATCGGCGGAGCGCTTTTTTTCCCCCGGGGTAATAACCACTCCAAAAAAATAATAATAATAACAATAATTATGTGGGGACGTCGCTGGGGCCCCGTTAATTAATTGGCTGCCGCGTTTCGCCCACAAAAATACACAGTCGCTCCACTTTCGCGGTGTAATCCTGTGAGGCGCTTCGAGACGTCTCGGAGACGGGGGTGAGGCGCTGTGTCAAACCCAAGGATTATTATTATTATTATTATTATTAATATTATTAATAACAGACTCTGGTTACGTAGGTGGATTACTCTTATCAAACAAATAGCAAACTTGTCTAGAATCTATTAAGGCTTAAGAGGGAGATAAGTTAGTGTTAGATAAACACCTTCTGGCACATAACACACACTACACCGGACTGGTTTATAGACGCTCTCTCTCTCTCTCTCTCCGCTAATTCTTTCCACCATCTTTCCTCTCTCTCTCAACAAATCCCCAGCCGGCTCATGGCAAAACCTTGGGGGTGGGGGGGGGGGGGGAGAGAGAAGGGATGTTGTTGTCTTATAGGCGTTATCCTCTTTACCCCCACCTTCCTCGCCGTCCGCCCCCTCCTGATCCCAACCTACCCCCCCCCCAACCCACCAAAAAGATAAACAGTCACTACGCTTTACAGTATATCCTGTGAAGCGCTTTGAGACGTCTCACAGACGTGATAAGGCACTGAATCGAATGCGAGGGTTATCGGCGTCAATGTTAGTATCGTGCAGATAAGGTCTTTCTCCCTCTCCTGCGGTGGGGGCTAATTCGATCCCGCAGGAGTGGAGAGGAGATTATTGGGGGAAGGTGATGGCGCTCGTTAGAGTGGGGTTAAGTCGTTTGGGGGAATTGGTGGGAGATTGGATGGGTAGAACGCTAGTTGGGTGAGTAGATGGATGGCTGGTTGAGTAGGGGGGTGGTTAAGTGGGTAGATTTCTGGTTGGGTGTGTAGATGAAGTCCTCCCCACATCTGGAGATGAAGATGTCTTGCCCACAAGCTGCTGCTCAGTGTTGGGTTAGTAACAGCAAATACTGACATTTGTTCCCAACCGCTTCGCCCGAGATATCAATCCGTCCACTCTCTTTGCCGGTGCGAATGAGAGCTGTGTGTGTGTGTGTGTGTGTGTGTGTCAGTGTGTAGGAGGGGTGTTAATGGTGCCATCAATCCATCCATCCATCCATCCATCCATCCATCTAAGGTCTTATTCTGAGGAGAACACAGGCCGTAGGAAGGCAGATCTGTACAAGCGACGGCTATTGTCCAACTCGGGGGCTACATTGTGGTGGATTTCTCCGTCAGAGGCTCCGACTTGAGCTGCTTCGAGCTCTTCGAAGAACGTCTGGGCCTTTCCTCCTCGATGATCCTCTCTTCCGAAGTGCGCTCTTCGTGGTAGGCTGTGGTGAAGCCGATCTTGGGCATCTGGAACTTAAAGTGCCTGGAGGGAGAGCCCTCGAACTCCACCAGGTCTTCCCCTCCTCGCTGGAGGTTGTTCCGGTCTTCGGCCGAGATCTCCAGGGCGCCTTTAGATTTGGGTCCCAGCGAGAGTTTGGGGAAACGGAACTTGCCGGACTTGTCTTTGCCCTCATCGCCCTCGCCGGCTTGTCCGTCCTCACCCTCCTTGGACCTGGGATCCCCGGCGGATGCGGTGAGATGTTTGGAAGCCACCTCCACCGAGTACGTCCCTTTGGACTTCCCGGTGCTGAAGGACCAGGTGGATCTGCTGTGTCCGACCCCGCTCCCGGACTCCAGTGACGCTAGCTCAGTCCTGGCACCGGACATGACCAGTTTCGAGGCCTCGCCACCCTCTGCACCTCCTTTCTTCTTGAACCCCTGGAACCCCAATTTTGGTGACTTGCCCTTCAACCCTTTCCCTTTGGCTTCTTCCCCATTGACTCGAGGAGATGATGAACCTGCCCTCTTTTCCCCCTCGCCCTTGGAGACGCTCGGCTCGGTTTGGACCAGCTGGAGGTTGATCTCCGTGTCCTCACCACCTCTGCGCCCGCCATCTTTTCCCGCGGGGAAAGCGGGTGACGTGAGCTCCAATTTGGGGAGCCTCAGCTTGCCCAGGACCGCCTTACCCCCCTCTTCACCCCTGCAGGAGGTCTGCCCGCCCTCGCCTTCCCCGTCCGTGCCATCGCCATCCTCCCCACCCTCACCGTTCCCCAGACTGACCCACGGCATCTTCAGCTTGAGTTTGGACTTGGCTTTCTCCTCGTCGGTCCCTTTGACGTCTGTGCCTTTTGCGTGAACTCTGGCGTCTCCCTCGGCCTGCTCCTCCCCGTTCAAATCGCCGCCTCTACCCTTCGACCAACTGATCCTAAAATTGGGCATCCTGATCTTGGGTGAGCCCTGTTTGGCCTTGGCCTCTGGACTTTCCGTCCTCACCACCCCTCCCTTCCCCGCTGCAGACTTGCCGGTTGACTTTGACTTGCCTTTGGGTGAAGGAGTGTCCGTGCTGACTTCACCTGCTTTGCTCTCAGAGTCCAAGACTTTGACCTTGGGCGAGGAAATACCGAACAAGGACTTTTTGGCCTTGTCCCCTTTGAGACGTGCTTCACCTTCGGACGCTCCGGAAGCCTTGAGTGCTTTGTAACTGACGTCAATTCCCTTGTCCCCTCCGTCTCTCTGGCCCCCTCTGGCACTCCACCGCTTGCTGACGTCTTGAGAGCCGGAGACAGTCACGTCCTGTTGGGGTTTGGTCGAACCCGGGTCCTCCTGCAAGCTGACCTTTGGCAACTCGATGCCGAATTTGGGTAGTTTGACTTTGGCTGATTTCATCTTGTCTTCGGAAGACCCAACACTTTCGACCTGCGCTCTCCTCACCTCCACTTGACGGTCCTTTGGCCTGGCCACAGACATAGCTGCCATCTCCGCAGACAAGCGCTTCTCCTTGGAGTCAGAGAAACCCAACGAGGTCATCGCGATGTTGAGGATCGTCGACTTGCCCCCCGGATGAGTGTCGGCTTCCCAGACATCTCCCTGGCCCTCTGTGCAATCAAGACCCAAGTCTTCCCCAATCTTTGGGGCTGAGATCTCTAACTGGGGCATTTTGAGGAATACCTTTCCTTCGCTCTCTCTGTCGTCTCCCCCGGCGTCCATTTTGTTTTTGCCATCTTCCCTCGTCCCCGACTCTTTGGTCAGGACCATTTCGACTTTGGGCAACTTGACCTTCGGCATCTTCAGTTTGCCGTCCGCCTCCCCTCCCCCTCCTGATCCTTCGAGGTCAGCATCCACCTTTGACCTTCTGACCTCTGCCCTGGATGCTTTGCCTGGTGACCCCGTCTTCGCTTCCGGGTGGTCACCGAGCTTGGCATTGGCGTCGCCCTCTCCTCTGCTAGGCATGGAGATGCCAATCTCTGGGATGGCGAACTTGGGCATCTTAAGGCGAAACTCCGACCCCTCCTCAACCTCCTCATCTGTACCCTTCGTACCGCCCACGGAAGTGTCTGCTTTGCCTTTCACCAACCCGACGCCAATCTCCACCATTTTGGGGGTCGATAGGCCAATGAAAGGTGTTTTTATCTTGAACGTCTCTCCCTTGTTCTCGGATTTACCCCTGAGCTTCCCATCGGGATCTCCCACATCCAACTTGGCCAAATCTATGTCAACCTCAGGCTTTTTGCTCTTCCCTAAGGAAATACCAAATACCGAGACCTTTGAGGCCTTCGATTTGTCATCCGCACTTTCCGGGTCAAGCTTCGGTGACTCACCACCACCCACATCCCCTTCGACGCCTTTCAGAGAAAGTCCAAACTTGGGCAGCTTAATCTTCATTCTTCTCCCTTCCTCATCCGACTCGGATTGTCGCTCATCCGACTCCCCCTTCGGTCCCACCTTTGAGGCCTTGGGTCCGACCTCCACTTTACCCGCGGGCTCGTCTCCGCTCTTGGGAAGCCCGATCCGAAAACTTGGCATTTTGATCTTCTCCCCTTTGCTCTTCACCTCCGGGCTCCCATCAGCCTTGCTCTTCTCGGCTTTGCCTCTCAGTGTGGACTTGTCGTCCTGGGGTGGACTCATCTCCATCTCCGCCTGGGCCGAGGGCAATCCGAACGAAGGCAACGTCACCTTATAACAACAACAACAACTTGCGTTTTACACAGCGCCTCTCACGCAGGGTAGCTTCCCCGGAGCGATCGACAGTGGCGGAGAACGACATCGAGCCGGGCAGAGAGAGGCAGAAGGTGACCGTAAGCACGGTTGAAGAGGAAGGCGTGACCTGAAGACGGGGAAGGAAGGGGGCAAGGCAGAGGGAGGGATGGAGGGAGAGCGTGACAAGAGTTTTGGGTAATGGCTGAAAGTGCGGCCACTGGTAGTGGAATGGAGGGCAAGAGGGACAAGCAGGAGGCAGCTGAGCGGAGGTAGCGGGGTGATGGGGGGGGGTGGGTGGGTGTATGAGAGGGAGCCAGTGGAGCCTGGCAGGACTGGGATGATGGGGGGGGTGGGGTGGGGGGGAGAGGGAGTTTAGTGCGGGTGAGTAGGTGGGCGGTGGAGTTTCAGATCTACCTTAGGCATCTTCAGCTTGAACTCCTGTCCCTCGACCATTTTGCCTTCGCTGCCAGTCATGGCTTCGCTCTTCCCTTTGGGGGAACTGATGTCAAAATCGAGCTCTAACCCTTTGGGTTTCAGGGAGGGGAATTTAGGCAGTGAGACACCGAGCACTTGGAATGTCCCTTCCTTGTCCCCTTGCGATGTCTCCGTCTCTCCTTCAAGCAACCGGACGTCAGCGTCTGACAGCTTCACTTTGGGGAGGGAGATATCGATTTTGGCCAATTTGGATATCAAGCCTTCAGGTCCCTGGTGACTCAAGTCAGACGCGGTGGCCTCTATTTCGTTCCCTTTCGAGCCGGACAGTGCTACCTTTGGCATCGCAAACTTGGGCATCTTGAGCTTAAAAGCGGAGTCCTCATCTGGTTGGCACAGGGGGGTAGCAGTCTCGCCCCCGTCACCCGCCATCTGGGGCAAGGAGAGACCCAGATCCACTCTGGGGGCCGAGATATCGATGCTGGGCAACTTGACGGAGGGGAACCTTGCATGTCCCTCTGACGCTTCTGCTCCAACCGTTTCCCCTTTGACTTTGGGGATCTTCAGTTCCCCTCCGTAGGCCTTGAGGTCGGCTTCCGTCACGTCGACCTCTGCCTTCGGCAACGTTCCCTCTCCCCCTGTTTTCTTCGGCTGTGGGACGGAAATCTCGAAGGAGGGCACTTTGATCTTCGGCATCTTCAGCTTGCCTCCGGGACCTTCCTGCTCCGTCTCCGAGCCGGCCTTGTCCTTCCCCTTGGCCTTGGCTTTGGCCTTGATGTCTGCCTCCAATTCCTCTTCCCCCTGACCCCCTTTCCCCCCCGAAATCCCGAACTTAGGCATGGAGAACTTGGGCAGCTTGACTGTGACATCAGGTCCGTCGATGCTCAAGTCGAGACCTCGAGCCCCCCCGCTGTCCACTTTGGGGGCTTTGACCTTGACTTCTGGGCTTTTCCCCTTTTCCCCCTCTCCCCCCGAAGACCCCTCGCTTTCCTGTGTCTTGCCCTTGAATGAGGAAATCCCGAACTTGGAAAGTTTTAAGAACGAAGACTTGGTTCTTCCTTCTGGGCTCCCCTTCCCTTCCACCTCGACATCTCCTGCCTTTCCCTTTGAGGTGGTCTCGGGTACGTCCTCGCCCTCCCCACCTTTCTTGGGGGTCCCGAAGGTGGGCATTTTGAACTTGGGCATCTTGAAACGACCTTCCTTTCCGCGCAATTTCCCGTCGTCATCATCATCGACAACCGTTGACGTCCCTTTGATCTCAACTTTGCCTTTGCGTTCTGGAGAGGACACCGTCAAGGCTTCAGCTCCCTTCACCTCGCCGCCAAGCCCCACCTCCTTGCTTTGTACCCTAAGTTCTGGCAATGAGACCTTAGGCAATTTCAGCTTGAAGTCAAGAGCCTCAGTTGGAAACCCATCACGTTGGATCCCAAGTTCCTGTTGGGCCAAGACGTCAGCCTTTCCTGAAGGAAACGCCAAATCAACATCTGGGACTTTTACTTGCGGAGCGGAAATGCCAAGAGTGGGCATTTTTATCGAAGGCAACACCCCCTTTCCTTCTTGATCTTCAAACCCCATCTCGGGTCCTTTGACCTTGATGCTCTCCTTTGAAACCTTGACCACAATATCCTTTTTAATCATCTTCGTGACAACCTCCATTTCCGGTTCTACCTCAACCATCAGCACTTTAGGGAGGGAGATTTCCAGCTTAATCCCTTGGGTTTTTTGACCGTCCAATTCTGGTCCTTTCCCCTCCATCCTCACGAGGCCTTCAGCCTCTGACTCCTTGCTCTTGCTCGAAATGCCGAATGTCGGGAGAGAGACTTGAGGCATCTTCACTTTGAGTTCGGATCCATCGGTGGTAACCTCTGACTTTTTGCTGACGTCAGCCATCTTGAGGGCTTGAACCTTGACACCAGTAGCTTTGACAGCTCCTTCAGACGTGTCCAACCCTACTTTTGGAAGGGTCACGTCGGGCACTTTCACTCTGGGCGAGGCAATGTCAATGGTTGGCATTTTAATCGACGCCAATTTACCTTTTATGTCCACGCCAACACCATTTGTCTCTGAACCTTCTAGAAGGTCCGCCTCTCCATCCCCGTGCTTCATTTTGGGCAGAGAGATCTCAAATTTGGGCAGTTTCACGAGGGGACCTTTCAGACCCACCTCCGCCTCTGCCACCAAATCTGCCTCCTTGCTCTTGGCCGAAACCCCAAATTTGGGGAGCGATAATTTGGGTATTTTGAACTGCAGATCGGGAGACCCCTGAACTTCGGGTGCACCCTTGACGTCGCTCTCAACACCAGACCCCAACAAATCTCCGATGACCTTTGGGAGGCTGATGCCAACATCTGGGACCTTTGGGACCGAGATGTCCATCGATGATGTTTTGCCCGCAGAGAGCTTCACCTTTGCCTCAGATATTTTCGGGACTTTATTATCCATCTTGACTTTGGTCGTCTCTACATCTAAGTGAGCGACTTTGACGTCCTTTGCCTCTCCCGCTTTTGTTTTGGGCAGAGCGATCTCAAAGGATGGCATCTTTGTCTTGGGTCCTTTCACATCGATTTCCCCAACTCCCGCCTCTTCTGCTCTTTGCTTTTACTCGAGATGCCAAACGTTGGGAGTGATACCGTTGGTATTTTTATCTTGGCCTCAACCCCTTCGTCCTCAACGATGGGACCAGCATCATCTGCCTTGACCTTGGGAAGACTAAAGTCCACATCAGGAACACTGACCTTGGGAGTCAAGATGTCAATGGTTGGCATTTTAAGCCCAAAATCTTTGACCTTTCCTCCAAGACCGTCCAACTCATCGCCAACTGTTGCCTTGGGCCCCATGACCGCCATGTCCCCTTCCGTCTCCTTCATCTTCGGGACGGAGATATCCACAGCGGGAAGCTTCATCTTGGGCATCTTGAGCTCGGCTTCCTCTCCCCCCTGTGGGGTTCCGCCAACTACTTTGACCCCTTTGGATTCTACCGTCTCTGGCCCTTTGGAGGTCATTCTGAAGGAGGGCATTTTCAGCTTGAAGCCATGCCCTTTGGCAATTCCCTCTGGTCCTTTGGCACCAATTTCAGCCGCTTTGCCATCTCCCTTTTCCTTCGACAGACCCAGATCGATCTCAACCTTGCTGATCTCCGCAAGCCCGGCCTTCAACCCTCCCTCGGGTCTCTCAACTTCCCCACGGACCTCTGTCTGCAGAAGGTCCTCGCTCTTTTTCTTCGGGAGGAACATACTGAGAGAAGGCATCTTGACCTTGGTCTTCAAATCAGCTTCAGGCAAGTCTCCCGTGGCCTTGAGCTGGGGCAGAGTCACCTTAACATCTCCCACCGCCTTCTGAGACTCCATTGTGACGTCCACAATCACCTTGGACACCTCTCTCTGCCGGACGCCTGGTAATTGTAGCTTCTTCTTCTTATCTTTGGCCTGTTCCTCGCCATCCGTTCGCTTGCCTTTGGGGTCCGCCACCAACTGCTCATTGGGGGACGTGATCTTTAATTTCTTGAACTTGGAGAATTTGGGGATCGCAAACTCCACGTCCACCGGGATCTCAGTCTCGCCAGCGATGTCCCCGCCCGCTCCCACCACCTTCTTCTCCTTCTTCTGACTCTTTTTGACCGGAGTAACGCTTTTGATGCTCTATTGGAAGGACACACGACTTTACAGTTCAGGACAATGCTCACATTAACAATAATATTAATAATAATAACCCTTGCGTTTCATACAGCGCCTCATCACGTCGTCGAGACGTCTCAAAGCGCTTCACGGGATGCACTGTAAAATGTAAGTGACTGTGTACGTTTTTGTGAGCGAAACGGGGCAGCCAATTACGCCCAGCGACGTCCCCACAAACTGTTGAGCGACCAAATTCTTATTTACTGAAGGGATTATTACCCCCGGAAAGCGATCCCCCAATCAACTAACAAGTGGGTTCCTGCTGACTGCTGGTAAACAGAAGCGTGTGCGTGTGTATCTGTGCGTCTGTGTGGTGCGTGTGTGTGTGTGTGTGGAGTAAGGAAACTTGCCTAAGGTTTCACCCCGACCTGACCCGCCCGGGAATTGAGCCCGAGTCTTCTCGCTTGTGAGGCGAGAGCTCACTCCTGAGCTACAGTGAGACTCCATTATTAGCCAAATTGCTTCATATTTGTAGGTGAGCAGAGATTCCTGTAGTGTAGTGTTTAGAGCATCTGGATCTGCCTCACAAGCGAGAGGACTTGGGTTTGATACCCCGGGAAGACTCCCTGCCCCCAGTGACTGGTTTGCCCTCTTTGGTCCTGCTGATGAGCCCAGCTGGGCCGTGCCCTAGAGTACTTTGCAGACTTGGGTGGGGAGCACAGAGTGTGCGTTGGAGTCTAACCAGCTAAAGCCACACAGTTTACCATCGATTAATGGGTTGCTTATCTCGCTCCCTCCCTCGCCTTCTTCAAGACCCATCTCAAGACCCTCCTCCTCGACTGCGCCTTCGGTCGCCCCCCTAACCCCCCGCTCCCCGCCCTCCCACCCCTCCTGAGCCAAACTCCCAGCTCAGATCCCTGGCTGTCCAGCGCCTTGGGACATCCTCCTGTAAAGGTCACGTGTTGGGGTTGTGGTTGAAGGGAGGACGTACCAATTTGGCTATCTTGGGTTCAGGTGCCTTGAGGTCCAGGCCGGCCAGGCCTGGGGGAAGCTTAGCCTCGCTGCTGGACACGGTGCGTTTGAGGCAGTAAGCCACTTTGTACGGCTCCACGCATTGCAAGATCTTCAGCACGTCCTCGTAGCCCGTGTTGTCAAAGTAGATCCTGGCGCTGAGGAGCTGATCTCCTGTGAGGACACAAGGTTTGGGTGAGTGAGAGAGAGAGAGAGAGAGAGCGAGCGAGACAGAGCGAGCGAGCGAGAGCGAGAGAGAGAGAGGGCTTACTCTAACACTGAAATGTCTCAAGGTTACTAATTATTCTCCTAATTATATTATAAATATAATATATAATTATTATTACTATAATCAGCCACACCTTGCAAATATTAATAATAATTCTAATAACAATCCCGGCATTCGACCCGGCGCCTTATCACGTCTTCGAGACGTCTCAAAGCGCTTCACGGGATACACTGTGTGCTTTGTTGTTGTTGTTGTTGTTGTTAGCCGTAGATTGAGTGACCAAATTATTATTTTTTCAAAACATTTTGGGCTTCACACAGCGCAATTGGCCGCCGCGTTTCGCCCGCAGAATATATACAGTCACTCCACCTTACGGTGTCTTCTGCGAAGCGCTTGGAGATGCCTCAGATCCAACGCGAGGGTTTTTAATAATAACAATATTTAATGGCAATACAATATAACATGACATTTACACACAGAACCATTCACGTCAGGAGGATGTCCCCAGGCTCTGGACAGTCAGGGGAATTGGGGGTTGGGATCGGGAGGGGGTGGAGGGCAGGGAAGGGTGGGGGTAGGAGGGTGATCGAAGGCGTGGTTGGTCGAAGAGGAGGGTCTTGAGATGAGGCTTGAAGGAGGCGAGGGAGGGGTGAGGGCTGGAGAGAATTTGGAAAGGAAATACAAGGGTTAAGGACGCAACATTCTCAATCAGCTGAATGTGCTTTGGAAAGGTCGTTATTGTCCAACAGAAACAGTGAAACTGCTGACGTTAACACAGCAAATATACAGCCATTGTTCTCCTCCTGTGTCTGTAATCTCTCTCTGTGGGCAGCCATTAATCCCTGATAGTATCAGCGACATCAGGCACCCAGAGAGAGAGAGAGAGAGAGAGAGAGGGAGGGAGAGAGGGGGAGAGCGAGAGAGAGAAGGGGCGAGAGATGGAGAGTCAGAGAGAGAGAACGAGGGAGAACGAAAGAGAGAGAAAAAAAAACGAATGAATGAAAGAAAGAACGAAACAGGAGAAAGACGAGCGAGAGAGAGAGAGAGCGAGAGAGGGAGAGAGAGAGAGAAGCGAGGGGGAGAGAGAGCGAGAGAGAGAGTGAATGAATGAAGGAATGTGCCAGTGTTCTCTCTGCCCCCACGACAGACTCTGGACCCATTGTGCAGTGAGAGCTTTGCTCAAGATGTCACTGAGAGAGAGAGAGAGAGAGAGAGGGGGGCGAGCATTCAGTCGGGCCGTTACAGTCACCGTTAATGTCCCTTAGTCTGGAGGGGAGAGACCCACAGAGAATTAAATAATAATAATAATAACTTCGAGACGTCTCAAAGCGCTTCACGGGATGCACCGTAAAGCGTAGCGACTGTGTGTTTTGTGGGCGAAATGCAAGGATTGTTATTATTATTATTACTCCTACTTTACAGTGAGGCGCTTTGAGACGTCTCGATGACGCGATGAGGCGCTGGGCCAAACGCCAGGATTATTATTAGTATCGTTGTTATCATTTATCGTTGCTATTGTGGCTTTGCAGGGTGTGTCGTGCGAAGCACTTTGGGACGTCCTCCCTGCGTGAAGCGTTAGGACGATTATTTCCGTGTTGAAACAAAGCCGTTACCTTCCTGGAGGCTGAAAGCTTTGGCTGCTCGGGAATCTTTTAGCACCTCCTTGACAAAGACTCCCTCTTTCCCTCCGCCAGCAACGCTGAACCCAGTGGCTCCTGCCTGAGCCTCCGTCTCCACAATCAGCTCCACCAGATCCGACTTCCTCTTCTCCTGACGAGAGACGCGGCGGATTACTTATTAATAATATTAATAATAATAATAATAATAACCATTGCATTTGTTATCGTGGCGCAAGGATTTCCCCCTCACGCAAGGTGGCATCCCAGAGCGCTTGACAGTGGCGGAGCAGGACACTGAGCCGGGGTGAGGGGAGGGGGTAGGGGATAGGGGGTAGTGGGGTAGTGGGGGAAGGGGGAGGTTGACCGTAAGTGGAAGGTCTTCATAAGAACTTCAGAGGCGCGAGGCGATATACCAATCACGTTACTTCCTAGAAGAAAAACGTGGTCACTAAAGTGTAGTGACTGTGCATTTTGTGGGCGAAACTTTTGCGGGCTGAGGGGGTGGGGGGAATGGTCGGCTAGGACACCGGGAAGGAGAGAGAGAGAGATAGAGAGACAGAGAGAGAGAGAGAGAGAGAGAGAGAGATAGAGAGAGAGAGAGAGAGAGAGAGAAAAACTTCCTTCTTTTTTCCCCGACCGCCCCATGGGCGATCTATAAATCTCGCCATTACCTGCGTCACTTCCACTTCACCCGCAGATAACATGTTGTCTCCCCAGGGCAGGTGTGACTGGCTGTCTCGTTCCTTCTTAATCCTTAAAACTTGCTTCAGTTCCTCATGGAGTAGTTCCTTCTGAATCTGCGGAGAGAGCGAGAGAGAGAGACAGAGAGAAAGAGAGAGAGGGAGAGTTTCAGCAATTGCAAACATAGGAAAAGGGGACTATGTTAATAAGGGAACATAATAATAATCCTTACAATTTATGCAGCGCCTTATGACGTCTTCGAGACGCCGCAAAGCACTTCACAGGATACACTGTAAAGTGTAGTGACTGTGTATTTTGTGGGCGAAACGCGGCAGCCAATTGCACGCAGAGACGTCCCCACAAACAGCCGCGGGTTGTCTGACCCCATTTTTTTTGAAGGGATTATTTCTGGGCTACAGGTACTCCAAAATGATAACAGGAAATCTAACCCCACCGCTCCCCCCCCCACCCAACACGGAATTACCTCTGTGTCAGTGCTGGTGCTATCCTCAGTGGGTAAGAAGTGGGTGACTGGATGATAGATTCTCTGGGAGAGACAACGGATTCGATCCCCCTCCTGTTCTCCTCGTTTATCCTTTACTTCAGGTTCCTGACATCAGGAGCACAGCACAGAGTAAACCAACTGGTTATACTGACACTGACCTCTATATAGTCTGATATTAACAGTGAGAACCTCTATATAGTCTGATATTAACAGTGAGAACCTCTATATAGTCTGATATTAACAGTGACACCTCTCTATAGTCTGATATTAACAGTGAGAACCTCTATATAGTCTGATATTAACAGTGAGACTCTCTATATTTCAGGACATATGCTCCTTTACCCAGTGGGGAATTAGCAAGTGTTACGGGCGGGGGGTCAGGGAGGGGATTGAGGCCAGAAACCTCGGGTCGATTGGTGGGGGGGGGTTGTGGAGGCGGGGGGGGGGGGGGTGTAGGGTTGTGGAGGCAGGAGATGGGCCGAAGGGGGTTCTTCTTCACCCAAACACTCACCGAGGTCTCGCATCCTGCGGGGCTGGGCACGTGGGTTTGTTCAGTGTCGTGTCTGATTTCTGCGGGAAAGAGACCAACGTCTTTGTGAATAAGAATCATAACCTCGCCGATAACCCCGGCGCTCGACCCAGCGCCTCACCCCGTCTCAAAGCGCGTCGGCAGGACACGCCGTAGAGCGTAGCGAGCGCGTAATTTCGTGGGCGAAAGGCGGCCGCCGATTGCGCCCAGCGACGTCCCCACAAACAGCCGTGGACGGAAGGGACCGAATTCTTAATACTTAGGATTTTATTTCGCTCTCAGTCCTCGAACCTGGTTTGCGGGGACCTGGCCGTTCGCGGTTGGCTGCCGCGTTTCTGCCCGCAATAGACTCCGCAGCGAAGGCGCTGTGAGACGCGTCGGCGACGAAGGTGGTTATTAATTGTTAAAAACTGACGCAGGCAAACCACCCGCCCCCAAAACTTGAGCGAGGAGAACAGTAAGGTCGTTGTCGCTCTATTTGCGCTCGATCGGAAAGAAAATCCTTGTGTTAAAAGTATTTGTAAGTAGGTTGTGAGGAGGTGGTGGAGTCGGTGATAATGAATCGGTGCTTTTGTGTCAAAAGTGTTCTGTTGTGGATCGAGAGACTGAGAACCCTTAAGCAAACAGACAAAGAGAAACACTTTTTTTTTATACACACAGCGCTCGCAGGAACCCCCTCAATCTGCCTTAAATACACGTGAAACCGCTAATCTGCTGATGCGACTGCTCTGAAATGTAACTGAATATTTTTGTTAATTCCGGCCCCTTTTTGTCTTGCCCGGCCGGGTGTCTGACACCCACGGAAACCCGTCACCGTGACCGGTCGGGTGTCTGACACCCACGGAAACCCGTCACCGTGACCGGTCGGGTGTCTGACACCCACGGAAACCCGTCACTGTGACCAGCCGGGTGTCTGACACACACGGAAACCTGTCACTGTGACCGGCCGGGTGTCTGACACACACAGAAACCCGTCACCGTGACCGGTCGGGTGTCTGACACACACAGAAACCCGTCACCGTGACCGGTCGGGTGTCTGACACACACACACGGAAACCCGTCACCGTGACCAGCCGGGTGTCTGACACGCACACGGAAACCCGTCACCGTGACCAGCCGGGTGTCTGACACGCACACGGAAACCCGTCACCATGACCAGCCGGGTGTCTGACACACACGGAAACCCGTCACCGTGACCGGTCGGGTGTCTGACACACACGGAAACCCGTCACCGTGACCGGTCGGGTGTCTGACACACACGGAAACCCGTCACTGTGGCTTCAAAGTCTCCAAACCCGACTGAGAATTCCCCACATCCCCTCCACACCCGGGAACCCCAGAGAGAGAGTGTCGGGATGGGATGCGCTATCTCTCTCTCCCTGGAGGGACGCCCTCTGCTTAACTAATTCTGGATTCCCTGCCCCCAGTGACTGGTCGGCCCTCTCAATCGACTAACAACAGGTTCCTACTTAACTTACTGCTGGTAAACAGAGGTGTGTGTGTGTTGGGGGGAGTAAGGAAACTTGCCTAAGGTTTCGTCTAAGGTTTCGCCCTGACCTGACCCGCCCAGGAATCAAACCCGGGTCCTTTGGGTTGCGAGGCGAGGGGTCTAACCCCCTGAGCTACAGGGACTTCATAAAGTACATAAAATAAAGGCAGAGTAATTTTGCAAATCATAGAGAGTGAGAGAGACTGAGAGATGGAGAGACTAAGCGAGAGAGAGAAACAGAGAGAGAGACTGATGAGGGAGAGATGGAAACTGAGCGAGATCGAGAGAGAGAGAGACTGAGCGAGAGAGAGACAGAGAGAGAGGTGGAAACTGAGCGAGAAAGAGAGCGAGGGATATGAAGGGAGAGAGACAGAGACAGACAGAGAGAGAGAGAGACAGAGAGAGAGAGATGGAGGGAGAGATGGACAGACTGAGCAAGAGAGAGACAGAGGGCGATGGAGAGAGAGAGAGAGACAGACAGAGCGAGAGAGAGAGAGACAGAGCGAGAGAGAGAGAGACGGAGAGAGATGGAGAGAGACAGAGAAAGAGACAGACAGAGAGAGTGATGGAGAGAGGCAGAGACAGACAGATAGAGAGAGAGAGAGAGAGAGAGAGAGAGAGAGCTGTTGGTGCTGATTGTAAAAAGGGTTGGAATCAGTACTTTTGTCAAAGAATGTCACAGCAGATTCTTTGCTGAGAACAGAATCTCAAACGTCTTCCCCCGGCTTCCAAACACAAGGCCCTCAGTGTCCTCGGGATAAAAAAAAGAGGGTTTTATTGGGTGTTTGAAGGTCTCAGTCCCTCAACAAATTGTCTGCAGTTTTACCCACACACACAGTCATTAACCTACGTTCCTCTCTCTCTCCCCCCCCCCTCCCCACTTTCTCTCTCTCTCTCTCTCCTTCGCTCTCCAGCCCCCGCCTCGCTCCTCACGCCCGCAAAAGGTCAACGGGCGGAATATTTCGGAGTCGGAATCTCTCTCTCTCCCTCGAGCCAGGAGTTCCTAAACCCCTTCGCATGCATTTTTCGCATTCCCGCCGTTCCAATCAGTCTCTCCCCGTAGCTCAAGGGGGTTAGACCCCTCGCCTCGCGAGCCAGAGAGAGGACCCGGGTTCGATTCCCGGCCGGGTCAGGTCAGGGGGAAACCTTAGGCAAGTTTCCTTACTCCCACCCCCCCCACACACACGCGCCTGTATTCCCGGCAGTCAGTAGGAACCCGCTTGTTAGTCGATTGGGGGATCACTTTCCGGGGGTAATAATCCCTTCAAAACAATAATAATAGTAATTATTTGGTCACTTCAATCCACAACAGCGCTAAAACCCAGTTCCCTCTCTCGTTCTCTCTCTCTCGCCTGAACTATATTTGTTCTCTCGCTCCCTCTCCTAAACTTGGCTCCGTCCGTCTTCCTTTCTCTCTCCTAAGCCAAGTTCCTTCCATTCTAGACAAGGCTTATCTTCTCTCTCTCTCCTAAACCAAGATCCCTCTCTCTTGCTCTCTCTCCCAAACTAGGTTCCTACTTTCTCTCTCTCTCTCCTAAACTAGATTCCTACCTTCTCTCTCTCGTTCTCTCCCAAACTAGTCTCCGACCTTCTCTCTCTCCCAAACTAGGTTCCTATCTTCTCTCTCTCTCCCAAACTAGGTTTCTACCTTCTCTCTCTCTCTCTCTCCTAACCTAGTCTCCTACCTTCTCTCTCCCCTAAACTAGGTTTCTCTCTCTCCCCCAAACTAGTCTTGTACCTTCTCTTTCTCTCTCTCTCTCTCTCCGTGCTTGTGAATGTGTAAGTGTGTCTGTATCTCCAAACCCATCTCTCTCTACTAAACCACTCTCTCTCTCTCTCTCTCTCTCTCCTAAACCCAGCTCGCTGCCCCTCTCTCTCGCTCTCCCCCCAAACCAGGTTCCCTGTCCCCCCGCGTGTTGTATCGAGGGCCTGGATGTGACCCGAAATCGCCGTGGACTCTCCGGGGAGTCGTCAGGAAAGGCTGTGGCCGGGCTCAGCCCCGCACAGAGGCTGACATCCTGTCTCAGCTCCGTAGCCCAGGCCTTTGGCTGTCACCGTAAAGGTTTCCTTCGGGGGCCAGAGGAAGCCCCTTGTTCATTGTTACATCTGCAGTCGTGGGTTGCCTTTTAAAGATGGCATTTCCTCTCTGTCTCTCTCTCTCTCTCTCACACATGCTCTCTCCCCCCCCCCCCCAACGCCCCAAAATAATACTAGTGCGGTCCACTCAATCCACGACTGTTTGTGGGGACGTCGCTGGGAGGAATTGGCTGCCGCGTTTCGCCCACGAAACACACAGTCACTCTACTTTACATTACATCCTGTGAAGCACTTTTAATCTCGAAGACATGATAAGGCGCTGGATCAAATGCAAGGATTATTATTATTAGTGTGTCAGTCTGGCTCTCTCTCTCTCTCTCTCTCGGTGTCCTCGCCGACAGTCCCCCAAATAAAATTGGTAGCTCCACGACTGTTTGTGCTTCACAGAATGTACTGTAAAGTGTAGTGACTGTGAGCGAATCAGGGCAGCCAATTGGGCACAGCTGTGTCCCAGTCAGTCGTGGATCAAGTGACCAATTTTTTTTTGGGAGCGGGGGTTAAGAGATTATTACCCCCGAAAAGCGACCCGTCAATTAACTAACATCCCCACCCGCCACACACACACACACATGCACACTCACAGGCTCGCACACACACACACAGGCTCGCACACACACACAGACACACACAGGCACGCACACCCACGAACACGCATATCCACAGACACACACACCAACACATGCGCACACACACACACACACACACGCGAACACTCGCACACACAGACACACACACACCAACACACGCGCGCACACAGACACACAAACATACACACACTCGCGCGCGCGCGCACACACACACACACACGGCAGGATGAATGGAAAGAAATGCTGTGGTTTAATTGGAAACAGATGGTGAACTCGCCCCAAAGTCGCAAAACCAGACGAGAAAAAGGTTTTGCTGAAAAGACTTCTCTCCGTTCAGTCTCAGAACAAAAAAAAGATTGCAAACCAGCGAGAACCCTTAAACCACTGCCATTTACTCCACGCCCTTCACACGGGGCAGAGTCTCAGAGTGTTTAACAGTGACCCTGAGCCCGTTGTGGGGTGGGGGGGAGCTGGAGGCGACCGTAATAACGGGTCGAATAGAGGGTCTTAAGTTAATGGAACCCATCGAGGGCTGAGGAGATGGGGGGACGGGGTTTAGTGGGGGTGATAGGGAGCCAGTGGAGCCTGGCGAGGGCTGGGGTGATGGGGGGACGGGGTTCTCTTCGACCGTGCCTTCAGCTCCCCTCTCAACTCTCTACCCCCTCCTCGCTCCCTCCCTTCCCTCCCCTCACCCTGACCATTTCCCCCCAATGCCCCGACTCAACTGTCCAGCGCCTTGGGACGTCCTCCCGACGTGCAAGGCGCTCCGTAAATGAAATCTTGTTGTTGTTGCTGTTATTAGTGGGGGTGACAGTGGAGGCTGGCGAGGGCCGGGGTGAAGAGGGTACGGAGGTTCGTGCGTTCAAGCAAACTGTGTTAAAATACACCAAACTGTGGGCTAACTCGGAAGTCAAGTTACTTACCTTTTAAATGAAATGTCTGTTCTCTCTCTCTCTCTCTCTGTCTCTCTCTCTGTCTCGCACTCTCTGTCTCGCACTCTCTGTCTCTCTCTCTCTCTCTCGCTCTCTGTCTCTGTGTGTGTGTGGTTCCCGCTTGTTGCACAAGTGAAGCCTCTGTCCCTTAAACCTCGTAGAGAAAACTTTTCCTCAACAGCCTTTCGGCGTGAGCGGCGGGCGAAGAGTCTCTGCGTCTGGTGTCTGGGGCTCTCTCTGTGTTGTGTGTGGACAGGACGTGCTGTGTTGACGAATGATGGGAAGGGAGGAAGGGGGGGGAGAGAGAGGGAGAAGGAGCGGGAGAGGGGAGGGCAGGCGGGGAGTGGGGGGACGGGGGGGGGGAATAGACAGATGGACGGACGAATAAGGATTAGGGAGGTGGGGAAGAGAGAGAGAGAGAGAGAGACACACACACTCACAGACCCCGAAGGTGGTTTCTACATTCATTGGATAAAACAGTTTGACATCGAGACACAAATTGAGTAAATGGAGAGTTTTAACGCTAATAAACTCTCAGGAGACCTCGACCAACGAGTGAACCAGATTAACTAAAGACCCCCCCCGCCCCCCCCCCCCCCCGAGATGCTACCCCACGTCAAGGGCGCTATCGAGATGCAAGTCATTTCCCCCACTTCTCTTCCCCCGCTCCCCTCCCCTCCTCCTCTCTCTCCCCCCCCCCCCCCACCGTCCCCACACCCCATCGACGCTCTGTCCCGAGTTTCACAGAAATCATAGAATATTCACCCACAAATACACAGTCGATTCACTTTACAGCGTATCCCGTGAAGCGCTTTGAGACGTCTCGACGACGTGATCAGGCGCCGGGTCAAACGCCAGAATTGTTATTATTGTAATCTTACAGCGCAGAAGGAGGCCATTCAGCCCATCCAGCCTGTGCCGGCTCTTTGAAAGAGCTGCCAACTAGTCCCACTGCCCCGTTCTTACCCCAACTAGTCCCCACTCTTACACCATTAGTCCCCACTCCCCCGCTCTTACCCCAACTATTCCCCACTCCCCCATTCTTAGCCCACAACCCTACACATTTTTTTCTTTTCAAGTCCCTATCCAATTCCCTTTAGAAAGTTGTCCTGCCCCCCCCCACCCACCCTTCCTCCCCGCCCTCCACCCCCTCCCCACCCACCCCACCCACACCGCCTCGGAGTCAGGCTCCCCCACTGTTAAGCGCTCTGAGGCGCTACTCTGGTGTGACAGCAGTGCAGCTGTTACGTAAAAGCAAAACAGAGCGACAGGCACAGGGACCTTACCTGAGACAGGAGAGGGAGCGCGGTCCGAGCACATGTCCCGGATACAATCGCACATCCTGGCTGTAATGAAGGGGAGACGGAACAGCTCTTAGTCCTGGGAGCCGCGCATGTGGGAGACTCTGGCGACGCAGCGAGCAACCCCGGGGCTTCCAAACAGTCGGGGGAGCGAAACTGCAACCGAGCACAAACCCACAGCCCAAACCGGCTCAAACCCAGCGACTCAGCAGTTCGCAGCCGCCCTGAGCTGAGCTGAGCTCACACTGCATTCATTCCCCTTTTGTCAGCCTGCGATTGGCGGACTTAACCCCTTTGCGCTTGGCAGCCCGCCGACAATCGATCGCCAGGGCAGGGCGAGATTGCATTCACGCAGCTCCTGTCGTGTTAAGGGCGGCGATCCCGGGGAGCTTCAAATCCCTGGTACTTCCCGACCTGCTTACCCGACCCACTCAACTACCCGCCGCCCCCCCCCGCTCGACCGGCTCCAGCCTCCTGCTTGACCCTCGTGCGGCCACTCTTTCAGCCACTAACCCACTCCCCCGAGACTCTGTCACCCTCTCTCCCTCTATCTCTCCCTCTGCCTTGCCCCCTTTTTCCCTTTCAGGTCGCCACCGATGGTGGAGCTGACATGAGGGACAAGCAGGAGGTCAGAGTTAGTCGAGTGGAGGCAGCGGGAGGTGGTGTGAGGCCGGTCAGAGGTGTCCGGGCCTGAAGGAATTTGTAGATGAGTTTGAGGATCTTGAAATACATCTGTTCTGTGATTGGGAGCCAGTGGGGGCTGGCGAGGGCTGGGGTGATGGGGGTTAGTGTGTGTGATAGGGGGAGCCATTGGAGGCTGGCGAGGGCTGGGTGATGGGGGTACGGGGGTTAGTGTGTGTGATAGGGAGCCAGTGGGGGCTGGCGAGGGGGTGATGGGGGTACGGGGGTTAGTGTGTGTGATAGGGAGCCAGTGGAGGCTGGTGAGGGTCGGGGTGATGGGGGGACGGGGTTTGGTGTGTGTGATAGGGAGCCAGTGGAGGCTGGCGAGGGCTGGGGGTGATGGGGGTACGGGGTTAGTGTGGGTGATAGGGAGCCAGTGGAGCCTGGTGTGATGGTGGGGGGGGACGGGGTTCAGTGTGTGTGATAGGGAGCCAGTGGAGGCTGGCGAGGGCTGGGGGTGATGGGGGTACGGGGGTTAGTGTGGGTGATAGGGAGCCAGTGGAGCCTGGTGTGATGGTGGGGGGGGACGGGGTTCAGTGTGGGTGATAGGGAGCCAGTGGAGCCTGGTGTGATGGTGGGGGGGGACGGGGTTCAGTGTGGGTGATAGGGAGCCAGTGGAGCCTGGTGTGATGGTGGGGGGGGGGGGGGACTGGGTTTAGTGTGGGTGAGAATAGGATACAGGCAGCGGAGTTCTGAATCAGTGAACCAAGATTAGCAACTCCAACAAAGTGTTGGGTGCAAAGGGAAATGTGGCAGAAACACAGCCGAGAGCTCCCAATTAAAATAGAAACAGGAAATCATTGCTTCCTAATAACACCAGAGACTGTATAAAATCAGAGCCCTCGGGAGGAGAAAGGAATTTGTTCACAACTCTCAACATTCCTTCTCGCAACGTACCGTGACTTCGGAAAGGGCTTCCAAACGGCAGCCCGGATCGGAGTCAGAAGATTTGTGGGTTCAAGCCCCCCCCCCCGCCGCAGCGGGATCGATTCCACTCACGTTGTCCCGTTAGCAGGGTGGTCAGCGCTGCCTCTGCTCAGCCCACCCAACCATCCGAGGTCAGGCCTTCAGCCGCTCTGCCCCCACCCTTAGGAACTCCATCCCACACTCCCTCCCCCTCACGGGCTTCAAGGCCCATCTCAAGCCCCCTTCCACCACGCCGCTGGTCACCCTCCACCCCTCCTGATCCCACACACCAGCTCGGGCCCAAGGGAAGGTGGAATAGTCCAGAGGGTGGGGGCAGAGAGGCTCAAGGTCTGAACGCCCCCCCACTGATGGTGATGGGCCGGGTGGGCGACATGAAGCAGACCAGAGCCCGCTGAGCGGAGGGAGCAGGCAGCCTGACATGGAGTTAACAGGTCATATGCCTCGTTAAACATACAATACTTACATTTGACACAGCACCTTATCACATCTTCGAGACGTCTCACAGCGCTTCACAGGATACACCGTAAAGTGTAGTGACCACGTCTTTACGCGAGCACAAAATTACACTGTTCCATTGACACACAGCAAACCGTGATGGTATTTGAAATGCTTTTATTATTTTTTTTTAATAGAACATTCGGGTTAAATATATAAATTGCCGGTAAGTCAGTGCAGGGGAGCTGAGCTGTGCAAAACTACAGTGCAATTAGTGCAAAGAGGTAGGAAGCCTTAACCATTCAAGTCAACATTTTTGACGGTCAAAGGCAATATAAAGTGCTGAATGATTGCGAGTGAGTGAGTGAGTGACTGAGGTGGGACATCCATTGCCAGTTAACGCACGGCACAGTTCTACATTCATCCGCGTGTGCCTTCCTTGTAGAGTAGAACCATTCTTCCAGCAACAGAGCTGCCCAGCAAGCCCACAAGTCTTCAGATGGTCTCCATTTACTACGGCACTCAACGAACGATCAGTTACACAGAACTCAACCTCACGTCTGAAGCACCGAGTATCATTGCGTCTGCCTCCCCGGCTCCGCTTCCATTGGTCTCGCTTGGCACCTCTGCCTCATCGATGCCCTCGATTGGCATCTCCTCTCTGGGAGGACCAACGCCAGTTTCTCTGCCCATGGACTCGTCGTCTACTCCGGTCACCTCCGCCATCTCTTTGGCAGGACCTCCCGTTGTGACCTGAGCCCCAGGCTCCTCTGGCTGCACAGACGAGGCTTTAATCTCCGTCGGTTCTTGAGACGCCTCAACCTCTGGCACCCTCACCTCATCAGGAACCTCTACCACTTCCTCTTGAACCTCAGCCACTGTCACCACCATCTCTGCAGGAACCTCCTCTGTAACCTCCAGCACTCTCCCCTTCGAAACCTCCATTCCCCTCTCTTCCTCAACCACTGCTTCCCTTTCCTCTCCGTCGTCAGTCATCACTGCCCTCTCCTCCTTCAAAGCCCCTACCATGACCTCCACCCCTATCCCTTCCTCCTTCTCCTGAGTAACCTCTGCCCCCTCCTCCTCTTCCTCCTCATCAGTCATCCCCTTGACAGCGCTAGTCAGCACCTCAGCAACCACAGTCACTCTCTCCTCTACGACCACAACTTTGGACATTGTCTGCTCTCTGATGGAGACTATGAGAGGTTTGGCTGTGCCAACGTCTGCCTCCATCTCCACTGCAGCCTCGTTCAATCTCTCCTGGGCCATCCCCACCTCAGCAGTGACAGTTCCCTGCGTGGTGGTGGCTTCGTCGGCTCGGGTTGAGATCTTCTGAATCCCGTCGGGATCATCCACCCGGGACGTTTCCGGTCTCTCATCTTCCGCGGCATCGATCACAATCAGCAGGAGGCTCTGCCCTTCCTCTCCAGCTAAATCTGCCACCGGTTTTATCGCCTCGTCGACCGCTGGTTTCTCCTCGGGTTGAACGATCACGGTGTCTCCGAGCTCACCCAGTCTCTGCTCTGCTGTGACCAGTCTCGCTTGGCCCACATCTACCAGAACCACGTCGGGCAGAAGGTTCCCCTCGGTGACTGACTCCACGCTCTCTACCGGCTTCTCCTCCGCTCCGACCTCCTCCATTCAAAAAAAAAAATAATAAGTCGGTCACTTCAATCCACGACCGTTTGTGGGGACGTCGCCGGGCGCAATTGGCTGCCGTTTTTCGCCCACAAAACACAGTCACTACACTTTAGTGTGTCCTGGGAAGCGCTTCAAAGATGCGATACGGCGCTGTATAAAATGCAACGATTATTATCACTTACCATCAACATCGCCTCCCGTTCTTGAGGCGAGTCAACCACCCTCGCTGGAACCATGCCCTCGATAGCAGAGCTCGGCTCAGGATGGGCTGTCGGGTACCTGCCTAAGGCTTTTAAGGAGAAATAAGACTTATTAAAGAGAATAATAATAATACTTCCATTTGATATCACGTCTTCGAGACGCCTCAAATCGCTTCACAGGATAGACTGAAGTGTAGTGACTGTTTTTTTAGGGTGAAACGCAGCAGCCAATTGCACACAAGAGATGTCCCCACAAACAGTCGTGGATTGAAGTGACCGATTTATTATTACTTTTTTGAAGGGATTATTACCCTCAGAAGGCAATCCGCCATTTGACAGTGTGTGTTTGCTCGGGTGTGAAACCTGACCCGCCCGGGAATCAAACCCGGATCCTCTCGCTTGCGAAGCGAGAGCTTTAACTACTGGAGCTATAGGTTTCTGTTGGTGCCCAGAGTGGCTCAGACGCTGTCACCACTTGCCTGCGGCCTCGGCAGCTGTGAGACAGAGTTCCACCTCGCCCAGAACTCTCCGGAACTCTGACTGACTGACGCACGCGTTGAACCAGCGGCTCACATCGACGTATCGTTCTCTCAACGAAGGCTCGAGCACCTAGAGAGGGGAAACACAGCACTTACATTCCGGCAACAGCACGTGACAGTTACACTGTCTTTCACAGTGTCAGGAGGGCGTCCAGAGGCGCTGAACAGTCAGGGGTTTGGACCTGAGCTGAGGAGGGGATGGAGGGCGGTGGGGGGGGCGAGGAGAAGGAGGGTGACCAAAGGCACGGTTGGTCGAAAAGGAGGGTCATCAGACGAGCCTTGAAGGAGGTGAGGCGGTGGGACTGTGGGATGGAGCTCCAGAGGGTGGGGGTAGGGGGGGGGGGCGGAGAGGCTTATGGTGGGGTGGGCAGAGCGGGGGAACGGGTAGCATGCTGAACAGAGCCCGCTGAGCGGTCAGGTGAACCTGGGGTTAGCAGGTCACAGAGGTAGGGAGGGAGGAGCGAGGCTGTGGAGGGGCGTCGAAGGTGAGGTGGAGGGTTTTGAACGCTAACCTGAGGGATGGGGAGCCGGGCGAGAGTGGGGGTTAATTGCTATGCGTCAAATGACCACACTGAATTTTCGAACCCACCCCCCCCACCCCCTTTCCTCCCTCAACAGACTCCAGGTTTAAATGTAGGGCAGAGCTCTGGCTGAGCCCAGTACAGTGTCACTTGGCAGGTCAGAGCCATCTCCCACGTTACTGTCCGCACTCTTGGCACCAGATCAGCACAAGAACCGAGCTGGTAATTAGACAGTGCAGTTGGCCAGAGAGAGAGAGAGAGAGAGAGAGAGAGAGAGAGAGAGAGATCAATCGCTAGTCAATTCTTACATCCCAGGCCACCGGCTAATTTGGAACTAAATTCAGACACGTACACAGTCACTACACTTCACAGGATAACCTGTCGAAGCGCTTTGAGACATCTTGATGACGTCTTGATGATAAGGCACTGTATCAAATGCAAGGATTATTATTATTATGACCAAATTATTATTTATTTATCGAAGGGATTATTACCCTCCCCCGGATCCGCCAACACTAGTTCCTACTCACTCCTGCTGCGTGTGTAAGGTTTCGCCCAACCTGACCCACCCGGGAATCGAACCCAGATCCCTCGCTCGCACGCTAAGGCGAGGGCTCTAACTGCTGAGCTCCGGTGAATTGTCCTAATCGGTGCAGATAATCAGCCGTCTGCCATACACCTGAAAGGATGTGGTTACCACACAGGTGGTGTGAAAAGCCGCCACGAGTGTTACTCACCAGCTTAAAGAGTTCCAGCACCGCGCACACCAGTGTGATATCAGCGAGAGTGAGCTGCTCCCCCAGCAGGTAAGGTCTGCTCCGGAGATGGCCATTTAATAAAGACAGCACCTTCTGTACATCTTCTCTGGCGTGCATCCTCACCTGTGGATGTTCACAATACAGTATTGTACGGTCACTATTATTTAATAAGTAGAATTATCCCTGCCGTTCATACAGCGCCTCATCACGTCCCCGAGACGTCTCACAGCGCTTCACAGGATAACACCGTAAAGTGTGGTGACTGGATATGTTGTGGGCAGAACAGCGCCAGGTTTATAATCAGCGTCGCCTTATATTAAGGTCGAGTAAGGAAACTTTCCAGGGTTTTCGAACCCGGGTTCTGTCAGAAAATGAAACCTTAAGCAAGTTCCGTTACTCCACACGCCTGTTTACCAAGACACAAAACCTCTTTGTTAGTTGATTAGCGGATTCCTTTCCAGGGGTAATAATCCCCCCAAAATAATAAAATAATTACTAATACTAATAATATGGTCACTCAATCCACGACTGTTTGTGGGACGCTGCTGTGGGCAATTGGCTGCCACGTTTCGCCCCACAAAAGTCATTCCACTTTACAGTATATTCCATGAGGGGCTTTGCCATATCTCTATCAAATGCAAGTATTATCCTTATTAAAAATATTAATCTGAAATCAACATCCATTTCAGGGACTGACTGATGTCCGGGATTGTGACTTGCACCAGAAAAAGGGCTGCGTTTCCTCTGACGCAGCAAAGAGGGCTGAGGTTTCAACAGTAATTGGAGTCCAGCCAACTGGGGATACTTGAATGGAATTTGTAAGAGGACTGAACTGGGTTCCCAGAGACAGCAGAGCAGGGCTGCAATCAGCAGCTCACATCCCAACCACGTACAATGCGTACGGCTGTCAAGACTTTGGGACAAGCAGCACGTTTGCCGAGTGCTGACTGATCAAAATCTTCAGGAGGAGCGAGGTCGAACCAGCACACTTTCTATAGAGACTCACACACTCCCAATCCCCGTAGGCACCATCAGGAAATGGGGGGAGGAGAGAGAGAAAGAGGGGAAAAACGGCAGCACGGGCTCAGTCATTGCTCTTTAGCTACACAATGCTTTTTGCAAAGTCTTTTTTGGCCCAGCCAAGCGTCTGACACGCGCGGAAACCCGTCACCGTTGCTCAAAGAGTCTCCGAATCTCGACCGAGAATTTACTGCATCCCACCTACACATGGAAATTCCCACGTGTTGGAATTTAATGCGCTCTCGCTCTCGCTTCCTGGAGGAATGCATCCTGTTTACCTAATTCCGGAGAGTATTAGGCGCAGGTTGGCGAGAACCAAGGCTTTGGGGGAGCCCAGAGTGTGCGTTGGGGGGTCTAACCAGCTAAAACCAATCAGTTTATTATTCATTATTCATCTTTATAGGGATTATTACCCCAGAAATCTGGCTCAATTACTGATTACGGGGTAAACAGAGGTGTGGGCACGTGGAGTAAGGAAACTTGCTAAGGTTTGGCCCTGACCTGACCAGCCGGGAACCAAGCACCCCCCCACTGCGTCCCCACCCCAAGCTCGGGTGAGGTTTCTCGGACACAGGACTCACCGACTGGCTGGTCTGCCGCAGTCCCAGGGACGCCAGGACCCAAGTGGCGGCTGGAGAGACCAGCTCGCTCTCCGTGAAGTTGACCCACTGCTGAACGAGGGCCGATTGCTGGCCGGAGGAGCCACGCAGGACATCGCTGCTGACTAGAAGAGAACACCGTGGATTCAACAACAACACGGCAATACAAATGACACTTACGCAGCATCTTTCACGTCAGGAGGACGTCCCAAGGCGCTGGACAGTCAGGGACATGGAGTGAGTCGCGCACATAAAATACTGAAGACAACAGAATGGGTAAGAGCCAAGATCAGCGTCCTCTACAGCTCTTTGCACGTGGCTCAAGAACATTACCCCCGCCCGGTCCAACCAATTGTCTAACCCACACAACCTACCGTCCACGCCCCCATCTCACCCTGTGTCCGGCTTCAGGGTCAAACTGGTCACTTGGTCAACTGTCGGGTTACGCTCCAACCTGTGTCCAGCACAGAATTACTGGGCGGCTTAAACCAACCACATTGCTGTCTGCACTTTTGGCGCCAGAACGATACAAGTCACCGTCCTGGTAATTAGAAAGTGCAACCGGGAGCAGATAGAGCCCCGAGGAGTCCGATTATTGTTTGGTCACTTGGGTCCACGGCTGTGTGTGTGGGGACGCTGCTGTGCGCAATTGGTCACCGGAGTTTGCCCACAAATATACAGTTGATTCACTTTACAGTAATGTTCTGGAGTCTGGCGAGGACTCGTGGCGGGTGGGGACACAGATGAGGGGCGTTACTGTGTTAATATCGAATAATAATGCTTGGGTTTGATGTAGCTCCTGATCACGTCCTCGAGATGTCTCAAAGCGCTTCCTGGGATACGCTGTAAAGTGAATCGACCGAACACGGGTAGGCGAGCGCTCTAGCCATGACACTACAGTTCTTCCCAACACACAGCAGATACCCAGCACCGACCCCCACATCCGCAAGCCAGAGAGAGGGAGGGGGGTGGGGGCAAAATTACCCCAAATCACTCAGATAAACAACTCTTTAGGAGGTATGCTGGTCCCCACCCAAATATAAACAAACAGATCTGACACAGAGGCGATTTCACACAACACACGGGAAGCAGAGCGAGTGGGCGGGCGGGGAAAAGCTCTCAGGGACAGGCACAAAACATTAAACACAGGACATCCTCATCACACAGAGGCTTCCTCCGCGCAGACAGGCAGGCCAGCCCATACCCCACCCTAGCAGACAGCGCTTGGGGAATATTTGCTCTCCCCCCCACCTACCACCAACCACCCCACCTTCAGCCACTTGGGACTTCCTCCATTTCCTGCTATTCTTTCCCAAAGACAATGCACAAACCACCAGCTTCAACTCCCACCCCCCCCCCACCCCTCTTTCACTCTCTCTCTCTCTATATATATATATATACACACACACACCAGCATTGCCAAAAATAGGCTTGTTAACCCTTGAATACTGCTTCACAACCTGTCGCATATTCAAGGGTTAACAAGCTCATTTTTGGGAATAATAATAATCCTTGCATTTGATATAGCGCTTTTCACGTCGGGAGGACGTCCCAAAGCGCTTCACAGAACACACTGTAAAGTGAATTGACTGTATATTTGTGGGCGAACGCGGCAGCCAATGGCGCACAGCAATGTCCCACAAACAGTCGTAGATTGAAAATGACCAATTTATTATTGTTTTTGGTTTTGGAGGATTATTATTAGGCTCTGTGTGGAGTAAGGAAACTTGCCCAAGGTTTCGCCCTCTGCCTGGAATTGAACTCAGGTCTCTTGATTGCAAAGCGAGTGCTCTAACCACTGAGCTACAGAACTCAACCACCAGCTGGTAGACGATCGCTTTTCCGGGTGTAAAAAACATTGGTCACGCAAATCACGACTGTTTGTAGGGCACCGCTGTACTTAATTGGCTGCTAGGTTTCAACAACAGCACACATTTACACAGCACCCTCCACTCAGGATAGCGTCTCAGAGCTTTGCGACATCTCGAAGACGTGATAAGCCGCTATAATCAAATGCAAGGATTATTATTATTATTATTTTGTAAGCTACTGTACTGCCAAAAAATGTCAGCGCACATCTCAATTCACGCAGAGGTTCAGTGCAGTGAGACAAACTGCAAGCAGATGGCAGCACAGAACGCATTTAAGAGGAAGCTAGATATAATAATAGTATTTGATACAGCGCATTGTTGGGACGTCTCAAAAGCGCTTCACAGGATGTACTGTAGAGCGTAGTGACTGTATGTTTTGTGGGCCAAACACAGCAGCCAATTGCGCACAGCAGCGTCCCCACAAACAGTCGTGGATTGAGTGACCAAATTTTTTTTTTGAAGGGATTATTATTGGAAATTGGGTTGGAAAGCAACCCACCAATCAACTGACAAGTGGATTTCTACTGACTGCTGGTAAACAGGCATGCGTGCGGAGTAAGCAAACTTGCCTAAGGTTTTGCCCTGACCTGTCCCGCCCGGGATCGAACCCATGTCCTCTGGCTTGCGAGGCCAGAGTGCTAACCACCACACGACGGGACTCAAAACGCAAGGGACTCTTACCAGAAAGTCACTCACCATAAAAAGCAGCTGCGTTGCTCCCAGACACGTAGAAGCCTCCATCGCCCACCAACACAGGGACCTGCCGGGAACGAGAGACCTTGTGCATTAGACTAGCTGCGGAGTGCACACCTGGTGAGATCACCTGCGTCAGGTAGGGAACGGCTTAAACAACCGGAGAGAAGACACTGAATACAACAGCACAAAGAGGAACGTTAGGAGGGGCAGCACAAAGCCTTTCTCACAGTGAAGCCTGGCGAGGACTGGTGTGATGGGGGGGGGGGGGGCGTTCAAGATCACGTTCCCTCAGCCCATAAAATAAACCCAGCTCACCTGTCCCAGTGGGAATATTGATGGAAAGTGTTCAGTCGCTTCGCCAGTCTCCGGGTGAAACTCCGGTGCTCCGGACACCAGTTTCAATGGAAAATTGCTGTACTGAGCAGCAATCAGAACCAGGTAAGCTCTCCACGAGCTGGGGCAGGTGTACAGGGTCTGTAAGAGCACAAAGAGGAACGTGAGGAGGGGCAACGCACAGGCCTTGGAGGAGGCAAGGCGAAGTGACTGTGGGATGGAGTTCCAAAGGGTGGGGAGCAGTGAGGCTGAAGGAGGGGGTGTAGAGCAGGTCACATAAGGTAGGGAGGAGCAAGGCTGTGGAGATGTTGAGTTTAAGTCCCACAATGAGGACTTCAAGTTCATTGACTATAATATTAATAATAATCCTCGCATTTGATATAGCGCTTTTCACGTCGGGAGGACGTCCCAAAGCGCTTCACAGAACACACTGTAAAGTGAATTGACTGTATTTGTGGGCGAACGCGGCAGCCAATTGCGCACAGCAATGTCCCACAAACAGTCGTGGATTGAAAATGACCAATTTATTATTGTTTTGGGTTTTGGAGGATTATTATTAGGCTCTGTGTGGAGTAAGGAAACTTGCCCGAGGTTTCACCCTCTGCCTGGAATTGAACCCAGGTGTCTCACTTGTAAAGCGAGTGCTCTAACCACTGAGCTACAGGACAGGCTGATGGTCTGTATAGTGAGACCATCAGCCTCCTGTGTACCCCTGTGGGGACTGTCAAAAATATACAGTCACTACACTTTAACAGTACACCCTGTTAAGCGCTTTGAGACGTCTTGAAGCACGTGATAAGGCGCTGCATCAAATGCAAGGATTATTATTATGATTATTATTGTGGTGCCAACCTTCAGACGAGACACCAAAACCCAAGGTCCTGTCTATTACCTCGTTCAAGATCCCACAACGCAATTGAGGGGTGGGGGGAGGGTAGGGGGAGGGGGTGGGAGATAAAATTGTGGCCAACAATCCTAATTAAGTCAGTCTCCTGACTGGTTTGTGGGGCACAGCTCCGCATAAATTGGCTGCAGCCTTCACCTCTCGACACAAGTGGAGTCCTGAGGCTCAGTGGTTAGATCACTCGCTTTGCAAGTGAGAGACCTGAGTTCAATTCCAGGCAGAGGGTGAAACCTTGGGCAAGTTTCCTTACTCCACACAGAGCCTAATAATAATCCTCCAAAACCAAAAACAATAATAAATTGGTCATTTTCAATCCACGACTGTTTGTGGGACATTGCTGTGCGCAATTGGCTGCCGCGTTCGCCCACAAATATACAGTCAATTCACTTTACAATGTGTTCTGTGAAGCGCTTTGGGACGTCCTCCCGACGTGAACAGCGCTATATCAAATGCGACGATTATAATTTTTAAGTCACTACACGTCACAGGGGAAACTGCGGTGGGGGTCCGGCAGAAATTCCAACGACATGAGAAGGTACGACTGGAACAGACACGTTCAACCCAATCCCTCCCTCCCCGCGACCCCCCACCCTCACCCCCCACCCCCAACTCTCACCCCCCACCCCGCACTCTCACCCCCCACCCCCAACTCTTTCTCTTTCACCCCCACCAACCAATGGAACACCTCCCAAACTCCTTTATGCCTTTTAACCCCGACACCCACCCCACCCCCTCCCCACCCCCATCATCCTCTCTCCACCTCCCACACCCTTCTACTCCCCCGACATGAGCCCCCACCCCACCCCCGAAGACACGATAAGGTTCTGGATCAAATACAGGGATTATTATATTATTATTATACACTCTCCCCTCATCAACCTCAACACCCACTGCCTCCTCCCCAATCAACCCATTCTCCCCCACCCCCACCTTAAAAAGTCCCACATCCTCAACTCAACCCTCTTCCCCCTCCGCTACTCCCCCTTCCCCCACCACAAGCCCCCTCCCCCCCCACCTCAAACCCCCTCCCCCACCTCAAGCCCTCCCCACCCCCCTACATCTCCTCTACCATCTCTACCCCTCAACCCCTCCCCCCTACACCTCCTCTACCCCCCTCCTCCCCAATCTCTACCCCCTCAACCCCTCGCCCCTACACCTCCTCTACCCCCCTCCTCCCCAATCTCTACCCCCTCAACCCCTACACCTCCTCTACCCCCCTCCTCCCCTCCACCACCTCAACCCCCTCCTCCCCCATCTCTACCCCCTCAACCCCTCCCCCCTACACCTCCTCTACCCCCTCAACCCCTCCCCCCTACACCTCCTCTACCCCCTCCTCCCCTCCCCATCTCTACCCCCTCAACCCCCCTACACCTCCTCAACCCCCCTCCCCCATCTCTTCCCCCCTCCCCCATCTCTACCCCCCCCCTCCCCCATCTCTACCCCCCTCCCTACACCCCTCCCCCACCTCTACACCCCTATTATTGACGAGAAGCTGTTGGACCCCCTCTTACTCCCCTCTCCCCCCAAAGTCCCCGCTCAACGCGACCGAGGCTTCGGTGAAGGCGAAGGCACCGACCAGGCCCCGTCCCTCCCTCCCTCCCTCCCTCCCGCACACACACACACACACACAAACCACACAAAATAACGGCTGCAAAGTGTACCGGAGACGGTCGTCAACCGCTATAGGCGGCCCCGGGGCTTCCCGCTCGCACGGATGGCGAGGATGGACGCGGATTGCGTGGGCGGCCTCAGCGACCGGCGGATACTTACCGCCCCCGCCATTTGCAGTCCGCCCGGCGCCTCGCCTCGCCGCACTGCCGCAAAGGAGACGGTCCCGGAGCCGCGCTTTACGACAGGCGCCTGCTAGCACGGCCACGGTTTACGATAGAAGGACATGTCGCAAACTCAGCCCCTGTTATAGGCGACATGTCCCCTCCCAGTTGGTTGATAGGACTCAATTGGAATTAATTGGTCTGATTGCACCTGGTGGGGGGGAAGGGGGAAGTGGAGGGGGGAAATGGGGGAAACTCAACTTGATTCACAGCTCAAATGGTCAAATCTTTCTTCATCATCATCTTAAACTATAATAATAATAATCCTCGCATTTGATATAGCGCTTTTCACGTCTTCTCGACGTCCCAAAGCGCTTCGCAGAACACACTGTAAAGTGAAGTGACTGTATATATTTGTGGGCGAACGCGGCGGCCCAATTGCGCACAGCAATGTCCCACAAACAGTCGTAGATTGAAAATGACCAATTTTTATTATTGTTTTTGGTTTTGGAGGGATTATTATTAGGCTCTGTGTGGAGTAAGGAAACTTGCCCAAGGTTTCGCCCTCTGCCTGGAATTGAACTCTGGTCTCTCACTTGCAAAGCGAGTGCTCTAACCACTGAGCCTCAGGACTCCACAAAGGAAGGGAGAGGAGGGGCGAAATGGGTGAAACTCAACTTGATTCACAGCTCAAAGGGTCAACCCATTATCTTTCTTCATCGTCACCTTAAATTATATGGACAAGCAGAGAAGAAAGGGGCAAAAGGAAGGCGAAAGGAAAACATTTTAGGTGGATGGCAGATGAGGATGAGATCAAAGGTGTTGATGGTGCAAAACGTCTTTCTCCACCTCCTCCACCCCCCTTCTCTGCTTGTTCTTCTCATCATTACACAGCACCGAAGGTGGCCATTCGGTCCATCGTGTCCGTGCTGTGGCTCTTTGTAAAGAGCTACCGACTAGTCCCACTCCCCTCCCCCATAGCCCTGCAAATTTGTCCTCCCCTAAACAATCTACCCCCTTCCAAACATCCCCCAGTTCTGACAAAAGGCCACCGACCTGAAACGTTAACTCACTTTCATCGATGCTGCTGCTGCGCGTTCCCAGCGACTTCCCTATTCAATTTGGTTTCATTATTATTCAGATTGTTATTGTTGTTTGCGTCAAGACCGAAGCTCAAAGGATTTCCTGTTAAGTGTAGCGACGGTGTGCTTTGAAGGCAAACGCGGGCGCAAACAGTCGTGAAGTGAGGTTTAACATCTCATCCGAACCGGCAGGAATACGCAGCACGTAGAAAGAAAGTGGGATAGACGACATTCTGAATATGAAAGAAGCCGCAAAACTACAACAAAAGTGTTAAATACTTTTGAAACTCCTACTTAAAGGCAGGTTTATTATGATAGGATCTGGCGATACACCAGCAAATCATCCCAATATCACAATTTTAATGCAATATATAAATAAAAAAAATCACGTTTATGTTCCAGTATTTGTCCAGATATTTTATAAATATGTAACCGGGTTACAAAAACAAAAAGGGATTTAACAGTCCGCATCGCATCCCACGAGAAGCACTGTGCATTTTCTCTCCTTCTCACTCTCTCGGAGCAGGGCCACAGCTTTGGGTCAGTTTCCATTGAACGTGTTTTGGGGTAACCCGATTCAGATCAAAACAGAGAGAAAATGAGACTGTCCTTTCCTCAAGATCTTGCAATCCATTCCTTCACAATGTTCTTCAGCCGAGATGTGCAGCTTGTTCCCCTCCCACCCCCCCCCCTACCCCCCTCAACCCCCTCTCCCTGCGTTTGTTACCTACATTTTTATTTTCCGTTGCAGATTCAGTCCAGTGTAACACACCCCGCTTACCTAATTCCGGAGAGTATTAGGCGCAGGTTGGCGAGAGCCAAAGCTTGTGGGGTGGGGGGAGCCCAGAGTTTGCGATGGGGGTAACTCCTGGAGTCTAACCAGATAAACCCACACATAGCTCGGCCATTGAGAACGCTGTCTGGCAAGCTTTCCCGCTGGTTGACCAGCGAGGACCACCCTACCCATTAGTTGGGGCTTTGGCTGTAGGGTTAATAGGAGCTGAGGGGGAGGATTCACTGCCCCCAGTGACTGGTCTCTGAAAAACACATTATGTCTCTATGTCCAATCAGAAAATATTTGGCAGCTTCCCTTTGGCCTAATCACGTCTCTCTCTCTCTCTTCCCCCTCTCCTCCTCCGCTTCGCACCCAAACTCTCGCCCACTTCTGAGGCACATCTGCTCTAAGGTCACATCTTGATCTTATGTTGTCCACAGTCTCGTTTTCCCTTCCTCCCCCCCTCCTCCTTCTCTCTCTGCCCCCGTCTCTCCCCCCCACTGAATACAGAAAGTTCAGACATAATCCAGTTCAGGCATTTTACAGTTCAATTTGACAGCTCTGAGTATTGTACAATGTGCATTTATACAGATGTTATCTATATATATATATATTTACAATGAGGATTCCTGAATAAGACTTTGATCGAGGTTATCAGTTTTGAGAAAAGAAACACATTAGACTTATCTTCATTAACAATAATAATCCTTCCATTTGATACAGCGCCTCATCACATCACTGAGACGTCTCAAAGCGCTTCATAGGATACACTGTAAAGTGTAGTGACTGTGTATTTTGTGGGCAAAATATTAAACACAAAATGTGCCAATTGCGCAATCGTGGATTGAGTGACCAAATTATTATTATTTTTTTTTGAAGGGATAATTACCCCCAGAAAGTGATCCGCCCGTCGACTAACAACAGAAAGGATGCAATTTTAAGGTGACGTTAACAGGCAGTCAGGGAAGGAGAGGCAAACAGTGGATGGAAAAAAAAAATAATCCTTGCATTTGACGCTATAGCGTCTTATCACATCTTCGAAACGTCTCAAAGCGCTTCACAGAATATATTGTAAAGTGTAGTGACTGAGTATTTTGTGGGCGAAACATTAAACTGAGACTGACAGAGATAGTTCTTGTGAGGAGCCTGGAATAGAGAGCAGTCAATATTCCAGCTAGTCTCAACCTGCCAAACTGTCTTGCATTAAAACTCAACACCCTCCGTTAATGCAAACATCCACAGGCCACAGAACTCTCACTCACTGCAGTGGAGTAACGGGGGTGGGTGGCTGACATTTGCCCCCCACCCACTGTGTCAAAAAATTGGTGACGCTGGTAATCACATTTCTGCTTTGTGGGAAGATTGTGCAAGTTATAATAATAATAATATTCCTTGTATTTGATACAGCGCCTCATCATGTCGTTGAGACGTCTCAAAGCGCTTCACAGGATATACTGTAAAATGGGAGTGCCTGTGTGTTTTGTGGGCCAGTTGTGTCCCACAAACAGTCGTGGAGTGAGCGACCAAATTATTATTACTTGGAGGGATTGCGGTGTGCAAGTTAGCTGCCGCGTTGCACCCACAAACCCACATTCGCCCCACTTTACGGTACGCCTCGCCAGGCGCTTTGAGGCGTCTCGACAACGTGAGAAGGCGCCGGCTGGATCAAAGCGCGAGGAGGATTATTAATAGTCGGAATTTTTTTTAAAAAAACCAATAAAGCCCCTGGGGCAAGTTTCGAAACTCTCTTTTAAAAAATTACGCTGTTTAAAAATCAAGAGTTTGGGCGTGTTAGCAAAACAGGAAGAGAGAGAGAGAGAGAGAGAGAGAGAGAGAGCGTGCAGCAGTGCACACACACTGAAATGGTGCCCTTGCCCTGTGCGGGCAATGTGGTTTCATCATACCCTCTCCCCCCCCCACCTCCGCCTCCAACCAGCATTAAATAACGTGTCATGGGGATCTTCACCACTTGGTGGAACTGCAGCTCTCTGCACTGTAGAGCAGGGGGGGAAGATGGAGTCAGTCTCTCTCTCTCTCTCTCTCTCTCTCCCCGCCGTCAGAAACACGCACTCAGTCTCGCAGATGAGTTGCTATGTAGGTTACAGGCACAGATGAGTCTAAAAGCCCAGAAAATCCCGACTGACTGAACTGTGACAACCTCTCAACTCGTCAGGTCAGTTAAAACCCAGTTAATCTGATGATCATCATAATCCTTGCATTCGATATCGCGTTGAGACGTCTCAAAGCGCTTCCCGGGATACACTGGAAAGTGAATTGACTGCGTATTTTGTGGGCGAAACTCAGCAGCGAATTGCGCACAGCGACGTCCCACAAACAGTCGTGGATTGTGTGAACAATTATTATTATTGTTTTTTGAAGGGGCTATTATCTCTGGAAAGCGATCCCCGATCGACTAACTGACAAGCAGGTTCCGACTTACAGAGGTGTGCGCGTGTGATGTTTATGTGGAGTAAGGAAACTTTCCTAAGGCTTCGCCCTGAACCACCCGGGAATCGAACTCGGGTCCTCTCGCTTGCGAGGCGAGGGCTCTGACCATCGAGGTACAGGTCTTAAGCGATCCATACACACCATTCAGCAACCTCTCAGCAAGCTTTCTCTCTCTCTCTCTCCCCTCACCCACCCCACCTTCTCTCACACCTCCACATTTTCTTAAAATCAGTCTTTAAAAGAGGAAATCATTTTCAAACAGGTTGTTAGTAGACTTTGCACGGCGAGTGTTAAATCGAGAGATGAACTGACATCGCTACGTTCGTGGCTTCGAGATCATGAACGCCATCTAGAAATGAGTCAGGAGAAAAAATCTCCCCCTCGTCTCTCGCTCTCTGGTTACTTTACGGTTAGTTCCATCAGTATCGCAGTGGTGTCCGAGTGTTCAAGTTCAAAAGGGTCTTCCAGTTATTGCGACTTAGTTTGTTGTTGAATATTCAAAGGCCGGGCGTGGGGTGAGAGGGGGGCAGAATAGATGTGGGAGGGTGAGTGGGGTCGGGGAGAGTCAAGGAAACCATGCTCGCTACACCCTCGCAAACGTACTCCCTCAAGAAGCACCCCTCTTTTTTGCTCCTCCGTGCGTCCGTCCGTCCTGGCCACGTTGTGCACAGGGCAGTGTCCGTCCATCACAAGGAACCTCTCTGGAGAGGGAGGTGGGAACTGCAGAAAACCTCGGAGATATTGACATTAACAGCCACTCCCGCTCGCGAGTGTGTGCGTCCGTCGTTCAAGAGACTGAAGACCAAGCCGGCAGGAGACTGGTTTGGAGCTCAGTCCGTCACCATTTGGCTGATAATGTTGATCAGGTTGTCTAGTCCCCACAGATAGCCATCCTCTCTGTTACCCTCTTCCCAGGCAATCCTGTGGTTCAGCGTCTCGTTCCCAGGTAACAACATGGTTTTCCCAAAGTCTATCATCCATACCTTGGCCATCTCGCTCTGATCGTGAACGAATAACAAGGAGCTTCCCACCACCTGAGAAGAAGACAACACACAAGACTTCTATGTCAAAACCTTTAATTCACTGCGTTGATCTCTCCCATTCCCTACAAATCCTTGCATTTTATATAGCGTTTCACTCACAAAATACACACTAGACTTTATAGGATGTCATGTGAAGCGCTTTGAGACATCTCAACGATGTGATCAGGCGCTGTAACAAATGCAAGTATTATTATTACTACAGCACCTTATCCCACTCCCTGCTCTTACACCATATCCCTGCATCATTGCTTATTTTTTTGTTCAACTACATGTGGAAACCCATCGCCATGTTTAAGAGTTCCATGCATCCCACCTACACACAAAAATTCCCCGCGATAATAATAATACAATACTAATCCTTGCATTTGACGAAAGCGCCTTATCACATCGTCGAGCCGTCTCAAAGCTATTCACAGGAGACACTTTAAAGCGAACTGATGGTAATATTTTGTGGGCGAAATAATAAGTTGCTGTTGCCTCATCACGTCGTTGAGACACCTCGACAACAACTTAAGACGTCTCGAAGATGTGAGAAGTCACTGTATCAAATGCAAGGATTATCATTATTATTATTATATATTGCCCTAAGATTATTGACACACACACACACACACACAGCATCTGCCTTACCTCGTGGGTCTTAAAGAACTCGGAGTTCTCCAGCGCCGTTCTCAGCTCTTTCAAGCGGGTCAGGTAGTTTTTCTGTAAGGAGCAAAGGAGGGGAAGTGTGAGCCGGAGACAAGGTGATGAATTTGCCGAGGAACCGTTATCCTCAGCGAGTGGACAGATGGAACACCAACAACTTGTGTTTATATAGCGCCCTTCACGCCCGGAGAGGGGGAGGGGGGAAAGATGGGGTGGGTCACCCCCAGCAACCCCTGCCAATGCCTCTTCCCAAATTAGGGAAAGTTCAAGGCATCGACCCCCCCCCCCCACTCTTGTGAGGCAGGCAGATGTGCAGCTCTTCTCTTGGGAAAATCGCCAGTCATATCTCTCTCTCTCTCTCCCCTTCCATCCGCGCCCCCCCCCCCATCCCACACCCGCCCCTCCATTCTCCCCAAGGCAAGACTTCCCAGTGCGGGGAAGCCAAGATGATTCATTCAAAAAAAATTATTTACCAGAATGTTTTTACTGCCGTCCACAAAGTCCTGTAGTGCCACCACCACCTGCTCCTGTTGTTTGGTTTTCTTAAAGTTGGTGTTGCAGGTTCCGTCAGCTTTCTGTGGGGGAGCGAGGACAGACTTTATTAATAATAATAATAATCCTTGCATTTGACGTGGCGCCTTATTGCGTCATCGAGATATAACAAAGCGTTTCACAGGATGTACTGTTAAGTGTAGTGATTGTAGTGTGTACTTTGTGGCTGAAACTGTGTGCCAATTGCACAGAGACATGGGTTGAGTGACCAAATTATTATTTTATTTTTGTATTTTGCCTTTAATATCGCGCCAGTCTCACACGCTCCCACACACTTACACACGCACTCTCTCTCACACACACGCGCACTCCCATGCACTCGCTCTCACACACACTCAAACACACACACACACACAGTCCAGCGAGTACCTTGATGCCCTCGATGCGGAAGCCGAGGGTGGCAGTGGAGCTGAGGGTCTCTCTCCACTGCATGTAGCGGGGTTTGAGGACGGCCTGCTGAGTGTGCTCCTGGGGGGTGGGAGCGCTGGGGTCCACCCCGATCATCTTCTCATACATGTCCCTCCGCAGCTTGGGTTTCTCCCGAGCCTTGGTCAGTTCCTCCTCCAGATATGTCCTTCAACAAGGGAAACAAAGGTATGTGAGGCACAGACAGCCTGGAAGAGGTGCTATATACCAGTGGTGTCCCACTTTACCATCACTTAGACCGGGGGTGGTGGGGACAACCTTTTGGCTGCTGAGATTTGAGAAACCTCCGTGGCCTCCATAAGCAATATTTTATCCAGTCTCGTTGCCAGGCAGAGCCTTAGACCTCAGAGACCATCGAAAATCATCGTCTGGGCCGGATGTGGCCCGCGGGCCGCCAGTTGAACCACCCTGACTTAAACAATCTGTACTGAATGCAACAAGGGATTGCATATGATTTACTTAGGAGTTAGAGCCGGAGACAACGTTTGACCTACAATTGTGGAGACCTGTACAGTGATGGTTAGTGGATTGGCGGATCGCTTTCTGGGGATAATAACTCCTCCACCAACCACCACCCACCCCCCCACCAGAAAACAACAACGGAAATTGGTTACTCAATCCATGAGGGACATTGCTGTGCACAGTTGGCTGCCGAGTTTTACCCACAAAACGCAATCAATTGAATTCACAGTAAATTCTGTGAAGCGCTTTGAGGTGTCTCAACGATGTGATAAGGCGCTATATCAAATGCAACAATGATTTATTATTATCATCATCATCATCAATTGTGGAAATCCCAATTTTACAGACAGGTATTAACGGAGGGACAGGCTTGAGCCAATGGGAAGAGAGAGTGACTGGAGGACTCTGCGTTAATTGTAATTAAAATCCCTTCTCGTTTGAGACTACTGGGAGTAGAAAATGAGTTTAACAATGCACACGGTAAACAAAGCACACAATGCGTTTATGTAGACGAGATCAGGAAGGATGTGGGCAATTCACCCGCCCAGATGTAACAAAAGCCCTTGCAAATGCAGCTCCAAGTCACAGCAGTGCCACTCCCTACCCCGGTATGTGCGAAAGACGCTCTTATTAACCCAATCCTGTGGCGTAGTGGTAAGAGTGGGCAAAACACGGCAGCCAATTGCGCACAGCAGCGTCACTTACACTGCTGCGGATTGAGTAACCCAAATTAATTTTATTTATTTTGGAGAGACTATTACCCCAGGAAAAGCAATGCTATGCACTCTCTCCCTGAAGGGACACACCCTGCTTACCTAATACCGGAGAGTATTACGAGCAGGTTGGCCAGAACCAAGACTTGGGGGGCAGGTAACTGCAGTTGTCTAACCAGCTGAAACCACATAGCTTGGCCATTGGGATGCTGTTTGGCAAGCAAGTTTCAGCTGTGATCGCTGTCATCTTACCTCACACCCATTTTACAGTCCATGATCGAGGCGGAATCGAACTCGGCTAAGAGATCCTCCATTTGGTTGTAGCTGTCTCCGTCCCTGTCCACCACGCCATAATAGCCCGGCACGAAGGGACGCAGTTGTGAGTCCTTCATCAGGGACTCCAGGCACTGCTGCTCACACTCACAGTACTTCTTCAGGATCTTCCCATAGTCTCCGGCTCGGAAATTCCCTGAAAGATAAGGGCGGGCGGGTTATTGCTCAGCCTTTAATACGAACCCCACTTCTCTCCTTGGAACAGAAGGAGGTCATTCAGCCTCTTGAGCCTGTTCCCGCCATTCTATTTCGGTTGTGGCTGATCTGGACCTCAACTCTATTAACCTGCCTTTCATAGAATTTTACAGCACAGAAAGAAGCCATTTAGCCCATCGTGCCTGTGCTGGCTCTTTGGAAGAGCTACCAACTAGTCCCACTCCCCCACTTTTACCCCAACTAGCCCCACTCCCCTGCTCTTACCCCACAGCCCTGCACATTTTTACTTTTCAAGTACCTATCCAATTCGCTTTACGAAGCTACTATCGACTGAGATGACTGAACGCGCAGTCGAAGAGGGCATTGAGATAAGCTGCCTACCTGCATGACCTGCTAACTGCACCCATGGGTAACGCTTCTTGAAGGACACCACAAACGGGGACCAATGCACCATTGTTTTCAGCTTCTTCCACGACTTGTTCTGTGAAAGAGACAATCAAACACAATTAGAGGCTGAACAACGACCCCGAATATAGCCCTCGACCGACCGAGCAAATCACAGGCAGGAACATCCTAGAATAATAATAGTCCTTGCATGTGATACAGCACCTTATCACGTCATTGAGAAGATGTCGCAAAGCGTTTCACATGATTCACTATAAAGTGTAGTGACTGTGTATTTTGTGGGCGAAACACGGCAGCCAATTTGCACCGCAACGTCCCACAAGCAGTCGTGGTTTGAATGACCAAATTATTTTTTTTTGAAGGAATTATTACCCCCAGAATGTGATCCGCCGATCGACTAACAACCGGGTTCCCACTTACTGCTGGTAAACAGAAGCGTGTGTGTGTTGTGTTGTGTGGAGTAAGGAAACTTGCCTAAGGTTTTGCGTGGTCTGGGAATCAAACCCGAGTCCTCTTCCTGGCGAGGCGAGCGCTCTCACATATATGAGTAACGCAGAGGAGGAAATGATTTCTGGGCACGTGTAAAGACCTATAAATATCACAAATGGGCGCTGAGCATCTTGCTTTACCGAGGAGCTCCTTGTGCCAACTCACTCTCAAGAGACATGGTGACACATGGCGGGGGTGGACGGTGTGATATGTATCTTTCCCAGGCTCTCATACGCACTCCTCTCATCAGCCTGCCCTTCCCTTCCTCAGGGAGCAGGATAAAAAAACACACAACAGTGACGACACGCTGAATCAGATCAGGCAGGTCCTTGAAAAGGAAAAATGTGCAGGGCTATGGGGCAAGAGTGGGTGAATGGGAGTAGTTGGGGTAAAAGCTGGGGAGTGGGATAGTTGGGGTTAGAGCGGAGGGAGTGGGACTAGAATGGCCTCCTTCTGTGCTGTAAGATTCTATGATCAATGGGACTGGAGTAGAATAGCATAAGCAGAAGGTGCTTTCTCTGAAACATATACATTCAGGAACCAGAAATCGGAATGTAGTCTATTCAGTTTTCCAGGATGAGTAACAGCAGCGTATGCTTCCACTCCCTTCCTATATTGTGACTGTGTATTTTGTGAAGAGCTCTCTTTCTCTCTCTGTCTCTCACACACACACACACACTATCTCTCTTTCTCTCTCTTCCACTCGCATCCAACAAGGGAACCCAATAAAGCCAAGGGACTCATGCTTGGCTGATGAGCAAGAATAAAAGAGGCTCTCGCGCACAATACAGTAACTAGACTCTGAATCAGACCAGACTCAACTGAAATGAGACGACAATGGAAACTTAAGATTGTACAGGATGACTTTCCAATGCAATGCTGAGAAGGATGTTGCATTCGTCAGAAGTGTCGCCTGGGAATCCAAACCGCGTCCACAAGTGCCCTACATAACTGAGAGAGATCAAAGGCAATTCTGCATCAGTCAGGAATGCTTCATGTTCCGGGACACTGCTTCCAACACAGGCAGAGGCCAATAGATAAGAACCAAAACTGAAGAGAGCTGGGAAAATTCAGCAGGTCAGGCAGCATCTATGGAGAAAACGTTTCGGGGCTACGCCCCTTCGTCGGAACTGCTGAGTTTTCCCAGTTCTCTCTGTTTTTGTTTCAGATTTCCAGCATCTGCAGTATTTTGTCCAACAGATATGAGAGTTTCTGCAAATCTGAGCCGCCTAAGAATGTCCTATAACAACTTGCATTTACAGGGCCCTTCACTCGGGCTGTGTCTCAGAGCGCTTGACAGTGGCGGAGCCTGACAGCAAGCCGGGGCGAGGGAGGGGGTGGGTGTAATTACGAAGAGGAAAGTCTTCAGTCCTCAGACAGATTTCCAAAGCATCGAGGTGTAGTGGCTGAAAGCGCGCGCGGCCGCCAATGGTGGAGCAGGGGGGATGAGGGACAAGCAGGAGGAGAAAAACAACTTGTTGGAAATACTGCCTTTCAGATAAGATACAATAATACTTGATTTATTCAATATTGCACCTTTCCACCTTTCCATGGTTTGGAGAAGTTTGTATGTGAGGACCAGGATCTTGAACTGGATCCTCTGAAGGATAGAGAGCCAATGGAGTTGGGTGAGAGTTGGGGAGATGGGTCACGGAGTCTGGTGGGGGAGAGGACACGGGCTGCAGAGCTCTGGATTATCTGCAGCGCTGTGGAGGGAGGGGTTGGGAAGGCCGACAAGCAGGGCGTTTGCATAGTCGAGTCTGGAGGTGATGAAGGCATGAGCAAGAGTTTCAGCGGCTTGAGGCGTTGTCAGTACTAATGTCAATGGCAAGCTACGCGGTTTTAGCTGGTTAGACTCCAGCATTACTCCAACGCATAATCTGGGCTCCCCCCCCCCCACCCCAAGCCTTGGCGCTTGCCAACCTGCGCCGAATCCTTGCCAGAATATTAGGCGTCCCTCCAAGGAGAAAGAGAGAGCGCTTCCATCCCAACAATCTATCACTGGGGTTTCTCTGTAGGTGGGATGCGTGGAATTCTCAGTTGGGCTTGGATACTCTTATGCAACGGTGATGGGTTTCTGTGTGTGTCCATATATTCCAGCAGATCCAATTAAATACCTAATCCTTTGCGTTTTATACAGTGCCTCGAGAGGACATCTCAGCGCATGAGCCCCGGTGCAGTTGGCAGCACTCTCGCCTCAGTGTCAGAATTTTGATTTATTTAATATTGCATTTGTCAGACACCTTGGGGGGAAAAAAATCAATTGAATATTGATGATTCCTCTAATTCTCCGCGCTCTCTACACTAGAGGGTGCTGCCCTGCCCTGCGGACAATGACACATATTTTCCATTACAACTCGCTTGTGGTTTCTGTGGGTGAACAATTTTCTGTACAGACTCTGCAGAGCGCATCAACTAGCAAATCTGACAAACCACAGATCGGCAGCAGTTTCAAACGGCACCGTTCTGACCTGTTGTGGAGTCTTTAAAACAAAACAGCTACAGAATCTCAGAAATTAGGGCACCGAATTTGGTCTGAATCTTACACTAAAGTCAGCCATTATCCCGCTCTTTCGTCCGTAGTGTTCATATTGGTGCTCACTCCCCCACTGGAGCTCTCTATTCCAATATCATTACCTGGTCTTTCATAGATTCAGAGAATGTTACGGCACAGAAGGAGGCCATTCGGCCCATCGAGTCTGTGCGGCTCTTTGACAGAGCGTCACTTTCACTAACCCCAATCACCAGCTTTCTCCCCATAACCCTGCAAACCCGTCTTCTCCAAATACCTGTCCAATTCTCTCTTAAAAGCTGTTATCGAATCGGACTTCACTGCCCTTTCGGGCGGATCATTCCAAATTCCAACAACTCCCTTTCTCTCTCTCCACCAACCCCTCTCTTTATCCTTAACACTATTTTGCTTGTGAGGGGTGGGGAGGTAAGAGGGGTCTCCTCAGAGCTGAACTGGCGTCAAGGTGACTTGTTTGGCAACAGAATGTGGGAATCGAGGCCCCCCCCTCCCACCCCACCGTGCCAGGAGGGGCCCCAGTATTCCGGGGCACTCAGTGCTGATGGCAGCCCAGCCCATCGGCAGGACCTGGAAGGGCCGACCGGTCACTGGGGGGCAGGGAATCCTCCCCCTCAGCTTCTGTTAACCCCACAGCCAAACCCTGCAACCCTAACTAACGGGGAGGGTGGTCCTAGCTGGAAAAGCAGCGGGAAAGCTTGGCCAGACAGCGCGCTCAATGGCCAAGCAGGAAATCCTCGCCCCTCAGCTTGTTAACCCTGCAAGCCAAATCCCTAATGGATAGATTGTCCACGCTCCTGGACAATCTAGGGAGCTTGCATGTGGAGTCATGTAGCTCAGCGGTTAGAGCACTCGCCTTGCAAGCGAGAGACCTGGGTTCGATTCTCAGAAGGGCAAAACCTTGAGTTAGTTTCGTTACTCCACACGCCTGATAATAATCCCTCAAGAAAAAGAAATAATAAAATGAGTCAATCCACGACTTGTTTGCCACTTCATATGGTTCACCTCAATCCACTTCTGTGTTCAATTGGCTGCTGCGTTTCACTCACAAATATACAGTTAATTCACTTTAGAGTACACTCTGTGAAGCGCTTTGAGACGTCTCGAAGACGTGAAAAGCACTATATCAAATGCAAGGATTATTATTATTATTCCCCCCAGCCCCATGCTGCCTCTCCATTTCAGCAGATAGTGAGACACACACACACACACACACACACAGAGGCCACCCTGACGGTTGAAGCTAAATCATCCAGAAATCCTTCTGACGAAAGGTTATCGACCTGAAATGTTAACTCATTTTCATCTATCCATAGATAATAATAATAATAATAATCCTTGCATTTGTTATAGCGCTTTTCACGTCAGGAGGACGTCCCAAAGCGCTTCACAGAAAACACTGTAAAGTGAATTGATTGTATATTTGTGGGCGAACGCGGCAGCCAATTGCGCACAGCAATGTCCCACAAACAGTCGTAGATTGAAAATGACCAATTTATTATTGTTTTTGGTTTTATGAGGGATTTTTATTAGGCTCTGTGTGGAGTAAGGAAACTTGCCCAAGGTTTCGCCCTCTGCCTGGAATTGAACTCAGGTCTCTCACTTGCAAAGATGCTGCCTGACCTGCTGCATGTTTTCAGTCGCATCTATTTTTATTTCATTTAGATATCACTCTCGATTCCTCGCCAATCAGATTTATGATTGCAAAAAAAATCCATCACCAACTTCTCAATCTACCCACATCAACTGGTCCTCGAATAACAAATGCAGACAACAAATACATACCAAACAACCAGAACAAAATTACACAAAGCTGTTCAGCTTTCCCGCTGCTTGTCCAGCAAGGACCATCCTGCCCTTTAGGTCTCTGGCTTGCAGAGACATAATCCAATACTAATTTCAACACAACATCAACCCTCAAGAGGTAGCACTCTCGCCTTGGGAGTCAGAAGGTTGTGGGTTCAAGCCCCATGTCGGGACTTGGGCTCACATAGTCTAAGCTGACGCTCCAAAGCAGCTCTGTCCTTCTGATGAGACGTTAAACCGAAGTGCAGACATCA